CCCGCAATTCAGTTTCTTCTGGCAAACCAGTTTTATTCAAGCAGTCGTTGGACTCATGGATTTCACAGTTTTTCAGTCATGCCAGTATGGCAGCTCACGCCCAAAGCGCACAATGCTTGGTTTCAATGCGGAAGAATTTCGATGTCTCAATAAGATGTGCCCAGGTGTCTCCAATACTCACAGGCATGAGCAATGGGGCCTGTCTCCTTCCACCAACCAATTTGCAACTGCAATGGAGACGGCGTACCCCTTCAAGCTGGCGAAGTCAATAGCACTACAGTTTGTTTTGGCGTTGAAACGAAGGGGTATTCAAATGCCCCCAGAAACCCTTGCGGAGATCTCACAATTTGACGCTGCCTTTTTGTCACCCCTGCGGGCTCAAACAGGTGTTCAAGCGAAGGCCTCAAAACTGCCGCCACTGATTCCTACATACTCGGCAAAGTTGGCAGTCACAGCCTTCAAATCAGATTTGCCGCAAGTGGAAGTTGGATACAAAGTTTCCACAGTTTTACATGTTTCTGCGTACAACGCGCCCACAGCCTTACCAAAAGGCGCCAAGCTTCTTTACACAACAAACGCATCACTTCCCTCCGAATGTTTGCAACGGGGGGCTTTTGTCTCCGGTCAGCAGATGCAGCAGGACGAAGTTGACAGGGTTGTCAAACTATGTGGCGACTCCCCCATCCACAAGACGGGTGTGACTGAAACCCAGGTTTGGGGGTTACCTTGGAGTGAGCAACAGTTCATCGAACAGATGGTACGTTTTGGACACCCTATGACCTTACAGTCAAACCTACCTGAGATCCTGCGCGATGCAGTAGGGCTTTACAACTCTATGGATGCACAACAGAGGATGGCCTACAGAGCAAGCAAGCTTGGGTTTTGGCTAAGAAGGTTGGTGGAGCTCAAAGGTGATGAAAGGAAGTTGAAACAGACGCTGGATTCCGAAGTTGCCCAAATTTTGGAGTTGAAAAATATCCTCCTCTGGAAGGAGATGCTGGAGGCAACACAGTATCTGGACATGAATGTCGTTCAGGAGTTTATGAATGGTTCTGAACTTGTTGGGTGCGTGCAGAAGACGGGACTATGGCCCGTAAAGTTTCAGCCTGCGTCTATTGGAGTGGAAGAGTTACATCAAGTGGCCATCAAAGAGCGTGCGTTGTTTGAACAACAGTTTGGGCAAGGCAATCAGGAACAGTTTCTTGAAGAAGTGTGGACGAAGACTTTGGAAGAGGTCGAATCTGGCGTCCTTGCAGGACCCTTTAGTTTGGACGAGGTGCCAGACCAGTACCCACTATCTCGACGCTTTGGGATTGCCCAGGGCGCCAAGATACGTTGCATTGACGATTTCTCCAGATCCAGCGTGAACAGCGCTGTCCAGACCTGTGAAAGCCCTAAACCACACACCTTGGATGTCTATGCTGCCTTGTGTGTTTTTGTGATGTCTTCAAACAGTAGATCCAGAAAATGGCTTGGGAGAACCTTCGACTTAACTGGAGCATACAGACAGTGTGCAGTACATCCATCATCCAAGCCTTACGCACACATTGCTGTGAGGCATCCCTCGACAAGGGAGATCCATGCATTTCGAATGCGCGCGCTCCCATTCGGAGCTGTGAAATCAGTGCACGCCTTTTTGAGGGCATCAGCAAGCTTATGGTTCTTGCTGGTCAAGGAGTTTCTTGTGTTGGCAACAAATTATTTCGACGATTTTGTAACCCTTGCTGAGGACACAGAGGCATCAGCCGTAACAACTTGTGTGCACATGTTTTTCAAGTTGGTAGGCTGGGCGTTTGCAGCCGAGGGCCCCAAGGCTCCAGACTTTGCTGAACTCTTCACGGCCTTGGGAGTCACAATAAACGTTGGATGTCTTCATACTGGCTTGGTGACAGTCGGCAACACTGAAAGCCGACGAGAGGAACTACTGAAAGTCCTGGATGAGCTTTTGACATCCAGAAAACTGACAAAACCCGAAGCACTGCGCTTACGGGGACGCCTGCAATTTGCGGCTGGGCATGTCTTCGGCCGTGTGGCTAAGAGTGCGCTAGCAGCTGTCACAGCTCATGCGTATGAGGGTGGGTCATCCACGCTCAGCAATCAGGCCCTTCTGGCCCTATCTCTGCACAAAAGAATTTTGGAATCTGGACGGCCGCGTGAGTTGAGGCCAACTTGCAATGAGTCATGGTATATCCAAACTGATGCATGCATTGAACCTGAGAGTGACTATGTTCTTGCGGGTATAGGCGGGGTCTTGTTCGCCCCTGATGGGAAGCCAGTCGCGTTTTTCTCACAGCAACTCAATCAACAGATGATCGCAGCTTTGAACCCTGGCAGCCGTAAGACCGCGATCTTCGAATGTGAGTTTTTCGCCCTCTTTTGTGCGATGTTGTTGTGGGGCAGTTCAGTCAGCAGTGCCTTAGTCTTGTACACTGACAACAATGCGGTGCGTGATGCCATGATTTCTTGTCATACTACAAATGCAGTTGCTAAGAAGATTTTGGTTGCAGTTTTATCTTTGGAAACCGAGTTGCAGTTGGCGCCTTGGTTTGCGAGGGTCCCGACGGACTCCAACTTAGCTGGCCACCCTTCACGTTTAGAGGTGGAACTTCTGTTGAAAATGGGTGCACAACGACATGAGTTGTGTGCCGAAGAATGCTGGGATGTTCTGTTGTCCAGAGCTGGAACTTGGGGAGATGACCTGGGCATCAGAACATCCCAGCGTGAAAAGTGAAGTTGCGCTTGAGAGCTTGCCTTGTTGAACAGTTTACTCAGATTCCTTGCAGTGCATTCACAACTTCTCTTCAGACATGTCTTCTGCAGCTGTGCCAGCGTTTGCAAGACTGATAATCAAGCAGTCATGTAATGAAAGCGGTTTATCTGGTGAAGCAAGATTCGGATGCGTATCAGCTGGCTGGCTTAAGGTTAGACTGTGTAACTTGAGTTCAACGACAGTGCATCAATGTTCTTCATGTCAATGTCCAATTGCAGGTTCACAACATGTTCTTTCTTTTGAGTGCATTCAACTTGCCCCACCCACAATCCGCCCTCTGGCAAGTTGGGTGCACTCTTTGGCAACTTGACGTCTTCATCATGGACATTTGTCGAAGCGTTGACATGTCAAAACGACATGGCCAAGCCCACAGCCTGATGACCTGGGCATCAGAACATCCCAGCGTGAAAAGTGAAGTTGCGCTTGAGAGCTTGCCTTGTTGAACAGTTTACTCAGATTCCTTGCAGTGCACTCACAACTTTTCTTCAGACATGTCTTCTGCAGCTGTGCCAGCGTTTGCAAGACTGATAAAGGACAAAAACACTGTATTTTAAGATGTTTTTAGTTTCCCGAACGTAGGAAAAAAATGTCAAAAAATTGTTCAAAAACGGCCCAACATCGACTTCCAACAGAAAACGTGAAAACACCACCAGAGTGATGGATTTTGGGGGTTGGCGGCAAAGGCGCGCCCGTGGGGGAGACACGGTGCCTTTGAATGGGGCCATTTTTGGGTTCACGCAAGAGCGAAGGTGCATTGCAACATCAGTAACATGGATTTTGTACCCCGTTGACTTGTAGCACAAACCCCCGTCTTTTCAGCTTTTGAACCGGGGTTCAAATTATGCATATTTGCAGAGTTGATTACTCAAGCGAATGTTGTCTCAATCTTGACTTAGGAAACAGTTGTTGTATTCACCCATGACCATCCCATGGACTTTGCATTGTTGCTGTTTTAATTTGACGCAGCAACGGTGGAAAAACACAGGCACGACATACATTTTTTTTGGGGGATCCGATGATGTTGATCCAAAAATTGGTGTTGTGTTTTTTTTGTAATTTCACTGAAATCTACCAACGGTTTGAACTTCAATTTTGGTTGTGTAGTTTAGTTTCACACCAGTTTTGATGGAAAAAAACACCCATTATCGCAAGTCACATTTGATTTTTCCGCAATGTCAAACCGTGCCAAAGCAGCCCGGTTCATGCGAATTGCAGCAGTTGCTGCATCAGCCCTTGCAAGCTGCTTTTCAGTGTCATTTTCCAAGTACACATTTCTTGCAGTTTACATATATGATCAAAGTGCATTTGTGTCTGACAAAGGCAAAAAACACCCATGACGGTGACTATTGTTCATTTAGCAAGTTCACACCCTGATGTTGAGTTGAAAGGCCTGTCCCAAAAGCAGACTATTTGCCACCTGTGCTCGATATTGCTCCCAAAATTGAGGCACAAAATCTGATTTGCTTACATGTATACGCATGAGAGAGGGATTATTTCATCTTGTTTCGTGCGGAGGCTGCTTGCACAAATTCAAGATTTGAGGCGAGAAATTCATATGAAAATGATTGTTGGATAATATTGGCATGTTTCTCGTTGGGACAGTTTCTTGTTGTGATTTTTGGGACCGGCTCCAGGTTGGTCAAGTGGTACAAGGCTTGGTGAGGCGGTTGAGTTGGAAAAGTAGTGTTTCCACTTGCAATAAGACGTGCAAACAAAGAACTTGCAGCAACGGCCAGGAATGTCTGGAGGAGTTTTGCCTTCATTGACATCGGAGCAGAGCGGTGGGCATCTGATTTTTTTTTTGATGAACAGAGCTGCATGGTTTCATATGGTTTCATATGGTTTCATATGCTTTCATATGGTTTCACATGGTTTCACATGACCATTTTGCGATTTGTTCGTTTGAAGTCCTGCAAACGCACTTGACGGCAGGGCACTGAAGGCTCAGTCTTCTCGAACATTGCGAGATGTATTGTTGAAACACCAGTGAACCACTGACAGCAGAATTCATACAAATGGAAATCCAAAATACCAGCAGCAACAGGGAGAACGGCAACGACAATAAGTACTAATAGCAACAGCAACAATCCTGTTAAAGGTGATTATATGCAGCAATTGTGGTACCAACAATGATTATTGTGATAATCAGTAGCAATAACAAGAAAACAAAACAAGACAACTGCGGTAGCAACAACAATTCCTTGGAACTGATAGCCACGCTAGTGTAGCCATGGTTTTCCCGAAGATCGTCCTTGGTTTTTTCCATTTGCTTTCAAGAGGCAGCAGTTTTTGTCCTAAAGGCTTTGGACCTGGGACATTTCCTCCTGAATACGAGATTCCTTTGTGGCCAGAAGACATGTCTTGGGAGGATAGTGCAAAGTTGCGCACTATCACGTTGGGAGGATTCAAACATAGCATGCTCAACGAAGAATACTTGGAAGGCCCCAACGAAGATTTTTTCATGCAGGGGCGCGAGACATTCTGGCAAGCATCTGGTCAATATTTCATGTACTATTGCCAGCGTTTCCGAAAATGGCGTATAGCTGAAATCAGCGCCTTCAGTCAAAATATGAACGGCCAGTGCTTCGCTTTTGTTTCAGATGCTCTTCCCAATAGAGATATCTTGAATCAGACCATGCTGAAGGGTTTTATTGAGGTTGAAGATGGAGAATGGGCCGCCAGAGAGGATGCTGGTGTTGTCGCGTTAGGCATCCTTGGAGATCAAATGGAGACAGCTGATGAGCCAGGGGACGGAGCATCCGGAGACCCCGAGGCCTGTGCAACCGAAAACTTTGAATCCGCCAAGGAATCTACAGAATCCACGGAATCGAAGTGTCCAGTGATGCCGGTTGTAAGAAAAGCCAGGGACAAAGCCGTTCAGGTTGCAAAAGAAGCTGGCAAGTGGGCAAGACGGCTTTTCCCAAAATATCTTGGAGCCCCAGACGAAGATGACATGGCGGAGGTGGAGGATGTAGAAAATCCATTGTTTGCAAAAGAAGCTGGCAATTGTGAGGTGAAAACCTTGCAGGGCTGCAGTTTCAAGGAACAGTTTTTTGTTGAAAAGCAGCGCGCTCGTACCACAGAGGAACAGCGAACAGAACTCCAACGTTTGAGAAAAATGGAGGATGTCGTCATGAAGCCTGCCCAAAAAACATGGTTGGTGTCGCGTGTCGAAATCTTGAAACAGCTGACGGACAACTCGGCTTGAGGCTTTGATTTCACTCCCCAGTTGAGTTGCAGTGAGTCAATCTGACTGCAGCAAAACACCATCGTTGTCCGTCCACAAAGTAGGTGCAATACTCTATTTAAGGGGTTGGCTTTTCAACCAATCATTTGCTCCATTCAGACCCAGTACAATACGAAGAAGATAGAACCATATAAGGATATATACATATATATATATATATTAAGGATATATATATATATTATATTATATATTATATATATATATATATATTATATTTATATATATATAATATAAAGATACGTTTTGTATCTGCGGAGAAACTTGATATATACTCCGAAGCATTCAAGGCGATCCCACAGGGAACACAGCGGCCCATCGCAGGGATGCAAGACTTGAACTCAGTGAGTTGGAAGACGGCTTCCCAGGAAAGTCACTTAAGGTGCGCTTGTCGTATGTTTCATGTGATAAATCAGTGATAAACCCAAGAAAACTTCAAATGGGAAAATTCCTTTCCAACTTTTTCTGGAAAAACTGAGAATCGTTTATTTTAATAATTGTTTTACCACATTGTCACATTACATAATGTTGTCTCTCAGCTCAAAACCTCGAGAAGATGCCAGGCTGTGCTGTATGAGCACCACACTGTCCGATCGAGGGTACTTGAGGCTGGAGCCACTGGAGCAAAAAATGGCTGTCCCAAGTTTTCAGATCAATACATCTGACACTGCTCTCTCTCTCTCTCTCTGTTGATGTTGGCAACTAGTGTTTTTGATATTTTTAAGAGTTGAATCCAGTAGGTTGCTGGTGGAGCCATATGGCTGACACGGCGCTCTGGTTCTTTGACTCGCCCACCCCGACTTCAGAAGGAGGTTCGCTGAAATCCATACAAGATGCCCGAGGTATAAATTGGTTTTCATACCTATCGAAGTGTAAATACCTCCACAAAGACTCGTTAGCCGAGTACGAAATGGCCTATCTTGGGAGGGATGCTCTTTGCAGAGTCTTTGTCCAGCACAGTGCAGTTTCACCTAGGACGAAAACCGTGCTCCTGAAGCACTTCAAGGCTTGCCCTCCGACATTTGGTTGGATGGCCAGGTGGGTGACTTTTTGCCCACAGGTGCGCAGTGCTGAGCTGTGCTGAGCTGTGCTGAAGTTTGAAGCTGGCTGGACTCTACCTTTCAGGTGTCTTTGTGCATGTCAGAGATCCTGGAGATGGACAGAAGCCATTGTTGGGCTTTCTGCCTGCTTCTCTTTTTCTGCCAGGAGATGCGCATTGACATGTCCTCATTGCCTTTTGTGCCCTGTCTTTGAACACATGCCCGTCTCATCATCCCGTCTCAGTCTTTTCCACTTTGAACGTTTGGGTTCTACTCTGCCAGGATTTGAAAAAGAAGCAATGCGAGGAAAGCGAATAAAGGTCAAGAAAGAAGGCACGACCGTGACCTCAATGATATATTTGAAAGAAACTCATAAAGTCTTCCACTAGTACAATTGAAAGACCAAGAACCAGCACCGGCTGAGCTGCCACGATTTTGAGCTTTCATTTCTTACAGTTTGCAGATATCTTGCTGTGTCCATTGGTTGTGGTTGATGCCATTGATGTCTTAAAGACTCACAGCTTTCTGTGTTGCAGGCTTTAATCCTGGGAAAGGTTTGCTTCTGACCATGAGGCAGACCTAATGGCATTTCAACGTGCCAATGGAAAAGCGCGCAACACATTTTTCACGCTTAGAACAAAACTGAAATGACTCAAACCCTAGAATGATTTCAATCAAATTTATCATTTTAAGCCTAAAGAAATGAACTGATGTCTTGGAGCCAGCTGTGTTTTTGTAGCACGCTCTTGCAGAGGAGTGGCACAACATGCCACACAAATACCCTGGATTCGCATATTACCTCAGCAAGGCTCGAAAGATATGCTGCTCGCCACTTCAACCTTTCATTTTCGGTCAGCACGAAACCTGCGATGCATGCGCATCAGAACGGTGGCAAAAAGCATTTTGGACGAATCATGCTTCGAGGCTGCAGATGGTCTTGCGCCCGAAGCTATTCTCTCAAGGACCAAATTGTGGAATCACCTACGAAACAATGCTGAATTTTACAGCCGACATCAAGAACAATGGAATCTTGCCATGAGTTTGGGACCTGCCTGCCCAACTCTAAGCTTCATGCATGACCTTGGCTGTAAGATACAGAGCAAGTTGTTGAGGGCGGATGGCGGTGCAACTTGTGGTGGCGGCAAACTTATAATTGCACTTGATCAAAGACAAGTGGAAACAGCGATTATTGTCAAAGCAGGACGCTCGCAAAGCTCAACCATTTGCGTTTCATCGCAGGCAGGTTGTGCAATGGCTTGTCGCTTTTGCGACACTGGTTTGGTTCGCCCCAAAGGAGGGATGAATCTGCCGGCATGGGCAATACTAGAACAAGTTCTTCATGCTGAAGCTTGGCTGCAACGAGAAATTGCAGGCTATTGTGGAAAGAGTAATATTGTTTTCATGGGCATGGGTGAGCCACTTCTCAATTATTCAAGTGTGCTTGATGCAGCCAGACTGCTTTGCAGCTCGGGGCACAAGATCACAATCTCTACAGTGGGAGTGGCAACACGAATCAAGAGCCTCGCACAGCAGGCACCACCTGGTCTGCGCCTGGCGCTGTCCTTGCATGCTCCCACACAGGAGCTGCGAGAACAGCTCTTGCCAGCTGCGAAGTTGTGGGATTTAGATACCCTTTTTACTGCTGTGAGCGATTTCGAAGCAGCTACTGGCTCAGGAGTGCTGATTCAGTACATATTGATACGTGGTATCAACGATCAAGAGAAGCATGCGAAGATGCTGACAGAACTTATTCTGTCCCGCACCTCAAGATGTGCTGGAATCAATCTCATTCCCTACAATGAAACTATTGCAGGGGCTATGTCAAGATTTGAGTCTCCTTCAGATAGCACCTGTAAGCGTTTCAGAGATACCCTGCGAAGCTTGGGTGCCCCGAACGTCACGGTTCGTTTCTCCACGAAGCTTGGCCGTGACTGGTCATCAGCCTGTGGTCAATTGGGTTTAGCGACAGATGCTATGGCTAAGCCAAAAAGTTCATTCCTTCGGATCTCTTCGGCCTTGGAGATGCTGTAAATGTGGCGCGTATGGCTGGTATGGCTTGAAGCCTAGATGTGTTAGCTATCAAGCTTTTGGCTGGAAGCAAGGTGAATATGTTGGAGAGACATTGAATGGGTCAGATACAATATCTTCCAATGAAGTCACATTGAAACAATTTTCCAAAATTGCAATATATAGCATCCATGGAGCCTAAATCAAGTAGCATCTCCCATACCCACAAGTTCTCAGGGCTGATAGGATCTTCATTATTCATCACTTGATTATGCGGCCCTATAGCACAGTGTTTAGTGGCTCCCTCGTAGCAATGGCGAGCTTGAAAAAAAAAGATCAGGAAGACTCGAGCTTGGCTCGACGCAACAGCGCTGATAACTTCATGGTTTCGCTAAGGGCCATTGCTGCAGCAATTTCCTGCGCAGGTACTGCTACCTTGCAAGCGCGTCAGTTGTTGATTACACAAACTGCAGCACCCTTTGGAGAAAGCGCTTTGACACAAGCAACAAGCGGACTTGCAACCGCTTACTCTCTTGGGAGTGTGGTTGAATTTTTTCTAAGCCCAAGCTTTGGGCGGCTTTCAGACCGATTCGGTCGAAAACCAGTGATGCTCTTCCTCATGATTGGACCTGCTCTTATGCGTGCATTGTGTGCTGTGGTGAAGGAGCCCTTTTTCAGGATCCGTTTGTTGACGCTATTCTGAAGTTTAGCGTGCTCTTTGCTTCCCAATGCTGTTTTCAAGAATAGAAAGCCTTTTTTTAGTGATAGTGATTTCTGGCAGAGACTGGCTGTTTTGTACAGGATTGTACAGACTCTTGTCTTGCCTATGGGTCTCCTTCAGGAAATTGCTCAGATAGATGCCTGATAAGATAAGTCGATAAGATTCGATAAGTCGATAACCACCTTATTGATCTGTACTTCCTAATGCTTTCAACTGGCAGCCTGTTACGCCCAGACTCAGGTGGCTGGATTTTGCATCCGCGCGGGCGATTGGCATCCAACCCTTCATGGGAATGTGCGGGACCATGATCAGCGATGTGTACAAAGCCGATGAGCAGCCGGGTGCAAGATCTCAACTGGTGGCAGCTCAGGCAGAGCTGGAGATTTCAGAAACAGGAAAACTGAAATCTGACTTTTGCATCGCATATATTCCTCAATATATTCCATATCCATCCCTATCTTTTCTTATCATTGATGAATTGATTGAATTGATGAAGCATTCTGATATGTTGAAACTGTTTGGTTGAGTTCAATGATTTCAGGCCTTTGGCAGCATTCTTGGCAACTACCTCTCTGGTTGGTGGAATGCAAGGGCTGGTCCCGAGTCGACTTATTTGTGTACTGCTGGGGTTCCTATTTTGACACTGCTCTTTGGGTCGTTTTGCTTGCAAGAAACGAACAATGCCAAGAAGAACAACCATGAGATTCAAGGAGCAAAAGCCAGCAACCTTGCAGGTTCAAAGTCCTACCTCGGATTGCTTCTGGATCCAGAATGTTGCCTTCTGGCTGGAGCTCTTGGTTTGTATGAGTTCATGAACTATCCACCGATGAACTCAGTATCAATCTTGTTCATGAAAGAGCGGCTGAATTGGGGACCGCTGCAAGCTGGCCGTTTCGCTTCTGGACATGCTTTGGCAGTATTTACTGGATCTTTGCTTGCTGGCCGGCTCATTCAAGTTTTTGGGAAGTACTATGTGAGTTTGACCAACGTCCTCACTGCTTTGGCATTCTTCATGTGGGCAAAAGCGAAGAATGGTTGGAGTCTGGTTGCTAGCCTGCTGCCATTGTCCTTCGGAACAGGTGCCCTTGGGGGCACGGATTCATCCGTGTAACACGTGTGACAAGCCCCACACAACACTTCCGTCATTACATGCAATTCTGAGTGACTTTGAGGTGCCACAGCCAGGATCTCTAGAAGGTTCTTAGGATTTTGTGTGTTGGAACTACACCTCAACCAAATCCAAATGAAGCAAGCGTGGTTGCTTTGAGATTTCACTCAGATTGAGATTTACATCCACAGTCCACATTGTGAACTCTTGGAGCCAACCATTTGTCGAGGGTTTTCGCTTATTTTCCACGCGGTCATGTGCTGGGTGTGGCAGGTGAACTGCTGTTGTTCCAATCGCTGCCTTGCCAGGCAGATGTGTAGTGTATATCGTATCCACCTATCTGTTTGCCCGTCTCCGTCTTTGTGTCTCTCTAGTCTATTTGTCTGTTTGAGTCTATCTGACCTAATCTAATCCATTCTAATCCAATATAATATAATCTAATCTAATCTTTTCTTAACGCCACATTCTGATGTGATGCATGTTCGTTCACAAATATGCCTATGATATATATATATGTATATATATATATACACATACTATATATATATACACATAATGTGTATATATATATACATGATATAATATATATATATACACATTATATATACACATATATATATATACATAATATATATATATGATTATATAATATGATAATGTATATATAATATGATATAATATATAATATATAATAGGATATGATATAATATTTATGATATAATATATTATCATATAATATGATATAATGTGATATTATATAATATGATATAATATAATATAATATGATATGATATGATATGATATGATATAATAATATATATATATATATCTATAATATAACATGATGTGATATGATGTACATCTTGCATATACAATATTCTGCATACGGAAACAGACTTTGGACATTCTTGCAACTCTTAGCGTTTTGCAGGTGGCAATGCGGTCCTGTTGACACGCTTCGTGGAGCGAGCTGTATCTTTGGGTTGGACTCGGGGTGAGGCGACTGGGGTGGTGCAGGCTGTTGGTGCGGTGGCCCGCATGGCAGCCCCACAACTCTTTACACGACTTTGGCTTCGCGCCGTTGCTCAGAAGGGACAAAGTGCATTGCCACTGGGTGCTCCTATGCTTTCAGTGTCTGTCATTGCGCTGCTCCAGGCAGGGATTTCGCTTCAGCCATTCCAACAATCACTAAGTCACTAAGTGCTATTTCCATTCCACTTCCAGTTTTTTTTCTGCACCCCTAAATTTGCCAGGAGATCTTATATCGGTGTTCGCTTTTGGTGCGTTCACGCTGAGATGATTTGCGGCAAACCTATTGACCGCAGGTTGCTCACAAGAAAAATGATTTGCACGAGATGAGAGTGGCGTCAATATACGGACGTTTCCAAAATGGGGGTACCCCCAAATCATCCAGTCTAGTAGGAATTTCCATGAAATACACCATCCAGCTATTGGGGTACCCCCATTTTAGGAAACCACCATATCATATCCACCCTTGAAATTGATCAAGCCCTTGATCTTGATCAAGCTATTGCCTTTGCCGTGCTCGTACACCATGATTGCACCATGGGCCCAGTACGTTTCGCTCTGGAAGCTCAGTACAAAGCTTGAGCATGTGGGATTGAGTTAGAACCATTGACCCGTTTAAATGGGATGGTTGAGTATGGTTTCGCACTGAGAACGACCAAGCTTTCGGGTCTATTGTAACCCATGTTTGAGAGCCCTAGCCATGTGAGCAGAAACATGTCGTACCACCAACACAAGCCAATTACCCGACATGATACTTTAAAAGAGTTGCTATGGCAAAATGTCGCAGAGTCACCGTGCCCGGGTCTCAACACTGTTGCCGGTTAGTCGTTTGCATGTAGCTGACTTCCCAGCAAATCTTTGTTACCTTCAGGTTCTTCTTTGTTGTTCTTTGTTTGTATTTGTCTTTGCTTTATTTCTGGCTGGATGGGTGACATGGTTTTGACTTGTTCACACAGGATTTCTTAGGGTCATGTTTGCCAGCAACAAGTTACTGGCAGCCCTGTGCGCTTCTCCTTACAAGCTGACCGACCAAACTCTGAGGTGGTTTCTATCGGAGATGTTTCAGTGCAAGCGAAGGATGATCCTTCCCATCTTGCAGCTTGTTTTGCAACATGCCAAAATTTCCAACATGTCCGTTTTTCTACCTCGAATGTGCTCGATTCAAGTCATTTCAACTGTCTTATATACTATATATATACACATATGTACAGTATTACATATATAGATAGTGTCCAAGCCTTGGCTTTGAAGAGAAAGGCATGCTCACTTCTCTGCGGCTAAGGTGCCAGTGACTCCGTGGCTTGGGTCTTGCAAGGCAAGGCGGGTGTGTCTGAAAATGTTGTGTACCCCTAAACCCAATGGTTTTGCTGATCATTATCCCTATTAAATGGCTATTTCATTGGGAATATACCCTATTTTCAGACAAACCCATGCAAGGAGGCTTTTGGACCCTTACCTGGCTTACCTTCCCCCTGTATCCTCCCACATGCCACTTCTGTGGCAACCAAAATGTGCCAAATGTGCTGTTAGAGATTCCAACATGGGCAACGAAAATGTGCCAAATGGGTGGTGGAAATGCCAAAATTGACGCCCAAGATCTGCTATTTTTCAGTTATTGCAAAAAGGCCAGTTCAACCTACGCAAATCCTAAACATTGCAAAGGCGTCAAGGGCGATAGAAAACTCAAGACCTTGTGCAAATCAATTCGCCACCATCCCCATCGGTCAAGTAGAGGGTGCGATACTTCCATTGCAGATGCTCGCTCGGGGGATAGAACCAAACTATTATAAAAGAAACGGTGAAGGTCGTCTTCCAGTGACTGCAAGTAGGTTCAGGCAGTTTGAGTCTGAAGAAGCAGGAAGTTCCCATTATTCTAGGGTTGGTTTTCCGCACCTTAAGATCTCCATGTGTTACTTGACCTCGAAGCACAGTCCAAAGCGCCAGTGTAACACTCCAATCAGCATCAGGAGCCTTCGCAATCAGAGCTTGGAGTGCTGAGATGGATGATGCAAAAGGCAACTTTCGGAGGGAAACAATTGAGATGGATGAGTTTCAAGATGTTTTCAGCATGTTTTGAGCATGTTCAAACAACTGGAATCCATGCTGGGAGCTAGTCCCAGTTGGCCCTGTGGCAGCCATAGCCATAGCCCAATCCACTCGTTGATGATCATTTTCCCTATTGTTTGATTGCCATGAATTTGGTTATCACCATTTTCAGACATAGCCATATAAGATCATATAAGCATGTTAGGTATCCCATCATACCATTCCAATTGCATCCTTATTGATGGTGAAATCACCCATGTTCAGTGCCCAAAACGATATTGGTACTCGTAACATATCAGAATTGCCTTCTTGACATTCCTTTTCAATCGAGGCACTGCTGAAGCAGGACATGTTCTTGCTTGGGCCGGCAGGCCCTTTGCTCAGGCACCGGAAATCATCCAATCCTTTTGCTATACCCCAAAATGATCATTTAATCTGGAAAATGATGATTAAGATGATTAAGATGTTTAACCAGCGGATTTAGAGGTACACAATTTTTGGACAAACCCATGTTCAAGATCTGTGGTTGACTTTCAAGCAAAGTGGGGATTGCCATTGCCTCGGTAGGCATATTGCATTTCGCTTTTGCGAAGTACTTGGACGAGAGGCCGCAGATCTTTCTGCCACAATTCTGTGAAGCTTGGCTTTGGGGAACTTTTGAGCATGTTAGATTTTTAGGTTTAGAGGAGAAGAGTCTTTGATTGCTAGTTTCATTATGTTTCATTTATGTAATCAAGAACCTGTGATTTGTATACAACATCAATGTGCTGGCAACATCAACTGATGTCGGCATGACGCACATCCTTGCATTCTCCCTCTTCTTAGGGATTCAATCAATGTGTTTCACTAACGTGCCCCATGAACCCAAGTGCACAGCCAACATTGTTTTAGAAGTTGATTTCTGCCTTTTCCCAGAGCACAAATTCTCAACCTGGCAACTAGCCCATGCTCATGCTCGCCTTGAGAATCATAGTGAACAGTTAACGTGGGTGCCGTCCCCAGAAGGGTCCAGATGCCTTGGAAGCGACAAGAAACGCAATTGCCCTGTAGGATATAGAAAGGCCAAGTGCATGGAACAAGACATTGGCGCTTCTGGGTGCTTTTGGTGCAAAATTGCATGCTCAAACACATTTGCTGGTCAGATGGAATATGTGGGCATCACGCAGGATACAGGCTGGTGATGGCTGGTGCATGTGATTCGAAATTGCTGTTGTATGTGATTGTACAGTTGTACAGGGGCGGGTACAAAATAATGCTATCAAAAAAATGGTGCATTCATTTTAGCAAAGGATGCTTCCCAGCGAAAAATTCTGGGGCAGGTGAAGCAGATTTGAAGCAAAGATGTGAGATTTGTGATGGTAGTATTGAGTTTTGGCCTCGGTTGCATGACCATAGCGGCAGTGTTCAGCTGTTCAGCTGGTTTTCCATGTGAGCTAACGACAAGTGACACTTTTGGAACCTGGGTCTTCGATGGAATGCACCAGGTATGTGGATCAACCACCTGTAAAAGCTGCAATTCATGGACGGGTTTTGGTGTGGCGGGCCCAGTTGCAGACAAGCGCTGACAAAAAGGGCAGATTTTTTTGGCCTTTGGCTACCGGATCCAACTGGCCAGTGTTGATGACCGCAGCTCTTACTGAGGTTGGAGGGCATCGAAAAAGCCGAGAGAAATGTGCTCCCGCTGTTGAGCCTTGGCAGAACACATAGACAACAAAAAGACTGGCTGCCTGGCTAGAATTCAGTGTGGAGCTTGTCCAAGAGAGCGCAGGATCTCAGAATTCTAAGGAACAATTTGCTGGAAAATCGTGAGATGTCACTGGAAGACAGGCCTGCCAGAGTACCAGTGTTGATGGTATTGAAATGTATTGAAGCAGCCGAACTGGTTTCTTGCAAACAAAAGTAGTGCATCGCAGTCACTGCTTGAGGCGCTTCCTTTTATCTCCAAATCGAGCAGCAGAACTTGTACAGCAACTTCAGGCTGGAAGAAAGTGAGCTGTAAACCCCATGAATCCCATGAAGATCAAATGGAAGATTTAAAAAGAAACAATACTTTCTAGATCTTTCTGGCAGTACTAGTACTACGTATAAAGAATGTCTCTACACATATATATATATACACATATATATATACATACATGCATAAATACCATACATTACATTACATTGAATTACATTACATTACGTTAAATTACATTACATTACATTAAATTACATTACATTACATTACATACCATTACATTACATTACATACCATTACATTACGTTACATTACATACCATTACATTACATTACATTACATACCATTACATTACATTACATTACATTACATACATTACATTACATACATTACATTACATTACATACATTACATTACATACATTACATTCATACATACCATTACACTACATACATACCATTACAATACATACATACCATTACAATACACACATACCATTACAATACATACATACCATTACAATACATACATACCATTACAATACATACAGACCATTACAATACATACAGACCATTACAATACATACATACATGCATGCATGCATGCATGCATCCATCCATACATCCATACATCCATACATCCATACATCCATCCATCCATCCATCCATGCATGCATGCATGCATGCATACATACATACATACATACATACATACACACATACATACATACATACATACATACATACATACATACATACATACATACATACATACATACATACATACATACATACATACATACATACATACATACATACATACATACATACATACATTACATACATTACACACATTACATACATTACATACATTACATACATTCCATACATTACATACATTACAGACATTACAGACATTACATTACATTACATACATTACATACAGACATTACATACATTACATACATACATACATACATTACATACATTACATACATTACATACATTACATACATTACATACATTACATACATTACATACATTACATTACATTTACATACATTACATACATTACATACATTACATACATTACATACATTACATACATTACATACATTACATACATTACATACATTACTACATTACATACATTACATACATTACATACATTACATACATTACATACATTACATACATTACATACATTACATACATTACATACATTACATACATTACATACATTACATACATTACATACATTACATACATTACATACATACATACATACATACATACATTCATACATTGCATACATTGCATTGCATACATTGCATACATTGCATACATTGCATACATTGCATACATTGCATACATTGCATACATTGCATACATTGCATACATTGCATACATTGCATACATTGCATACATTGCATACATTGCATACATTGCATACATTGCATACATTGCATACATTGCATACATTGCATACATTGCATACATTGCATACATTGCATACATTGCATACATTGCATACATTGCATACATACATTGCATACATTGCATACATTGCATACATACATTGCATACATTGCATACATTGCATACATTGCATACATTGCATACATTGCATACATTGCATACATTGCATACATTGCATACATACATACATACATACATACATACATACATACACATATGCATATGCATATGCATATGCAATATGCAATATGCATATACATATACATATATGTATACATATACATATGCATATGCAATATGCATATACATATACATATACGTATACATATACATATACATATACATATACAGACAGACAGACAGACAGACAGACAGACAGACAGACATACATACATACATACATACATACATACATACATACATACACACACAGACATACATACATACATACCTACCTACCTACCTACCTACGTACGTACGTACGTACATACATACATACATACATACATACATACATACATACATACATACATACATACATACATACATACATACATACATACATACATACATACATACATACATACATACATACATACATACATACATACATACATACATACATACATACATACATACATACATACATACATACATACATACATACATACATATGCATATTATAGATACATTACATGGATTGAGTTCAGACAGCACTTCCACTCAGTTTTTCTTTCCTGCAGGGTGATGAGCTGGCGAAGCTTGTGCCGGTGCATGAAGATTTCTTGGTCATAGCATTGGGGTCGCCGGATCGTGGTGACTCGCTTGAAGCGCTTGACATTTGGGGATGCTGCTGGGCTCATTGGGACCACACATTTTGGTCATTTGCAGTGCGAAGCATTCAACTTTTTGGGACAATTTGACCCGTTTCCATTTAATGCGTTTCCAGGTTTTGGTGTTGCTGGTTTTAGTCTCGCTTCCAACTTCGGGGTAAGTTATGCTTGATCCTGATGAAGACTGCAACTGTTTTTTGGGTTGTTTTTTGCCTCGACCCTAAGAGTCAAGTCCTCTTTCGAGTTTGTCATCGCCTATAAACTGTGTCGTTTTATTTTATGCCACTTTGTAACCTTCTCTGCCAGACACCCGATGCTCTTGTGTGTCTTTCAGTCTTTTCATTTTACTTCATATCCCTTAGTCCCATTCGATCATCTTGCTTTCCGTAGTCCTTCCACATGATTCTGGTGTTCTTAGGTTTCATAGCCAATGTGCAAAGTCGGATCTATATGCAATTCTTGCATCACCAGTCTTGCTTTGATTCTATGGACACAGAGTAGTTCTAAAGGGCGACGCAAGGACCGATGTGGTTTGTCTTGACAAGCCTTGCTACAACTTGTCACCCTTTCCAGGAAACCCTTTGGATCCTCCTTTACGGTCCCGCTTTGCGGCACTCCAGCTCCGACAGATGCCTTCAGAGCTGGGGACCTGGCAAAGTGTCTTGTTTCATGACGACTCAACCAGTGCACCTCGTTTTCCGCAGGCTACTGCAGCCACTCGCGGCTCTCGCACCTTCCCTTCCACTTTCGGAGATTGAGAGGTGCAAATCATTTCTATTTTGACATTTTCCCTAATTATCCATTTTAAATTGGGAAATTAACCAACACAGGGAAATACGCACATAATATACGTCTTTGTTCAGTTCAATTTTCTGCACTGACGTGGTACAGGCTTTTGCTGGCAACATCTCTTCTTCAACCAGGACGTGAGCCGTGCCTTGATGTGTTTGGAGCCAGCAAGCAGCTCCTGCAGGAATGTCAACAGCCTTGGGATCTGTTGTCAAACTCCTGGCCATGCTACCAGGCCGGACTATCTAAGGTTCTTACATGTATGTATATGATTGTATATGTATATATATATATACATATGTTATATATATATGTATTAAATATGTATATATATATACATATTTGTTGCAGCTTTGAAGTTTCTCTCCACCTTTGCTCGTTTTGGTCTTCAACATTTCGAGGTCTCAATGCTTGGGATCTTCTGAAAAGGGCGTGCCCAGGGGCTGCTGGGTGAGGGCCTCAAGTTGCTGCCACAAAGGGAAGAAAGCTAGGACAGCTACGATAGAAGATTTGTGGATCTGAAAAAAAAGGCTTGTACCACAGATCGAGAAGCTGTGCATTGACAAGGTTGGTTTTGGGAAATACTGGCTTGAAGATGTCAACAGGTTAGCTTTTAGGGAGTTAGATTGTTCTCCAGACAGCCTGAGCAAATGCGACGGGGTCCATACATGTCCATGGTTCTATAGCTGAGGAGTTCTGGAAGTCACTTGTCCTTTTGGTGCACAGTTTGATTATATTTGAGATATCTGATATATTTCTATGCAGAGAGTTGGTGACTTGGTGAGTTCTGTTAAGTTCTGTTAATTTGCTGCATCTTGCAGGCGCTGGAAAGCCTCAGGCAAAACACCATGAACACCAGTCTTGGCCTCAGATGCCGCAGATGCCACAGTCGTCAAGTTGTGGCATCACGGGTAGTAAACACTAAGTCACTAAGGCTACAGTATCGTTGGAGTGCGTCTGCTAGATGCAAAGGCAGGGCTGCATATGAAGAGTTCCTTTTTTGGGGTTGTTGATCCCTCTCTCTCTCTCTCGCAGGATGACACTAGGGTCGCAATCTTGCAGTTTCAGAAGACTCTTTCGGCAAAGTTCACGAAAGACGTGAGGATCCCAAAATTTGCGGCGTCGTCTGGTTTGGAGTACATCTTCTTTCATGCCATTACGGCCATTACGACAACCCCAAAACGAAAGACTATCCATGCCCATTCTTATCTCTCACTTTTCCACCTAGGATAGTTCGAAGCTTGAGGAAGCTAACAGCTATCAAGCACTACTGTTGAAGCAGAACACTGGACTTTTAAGGTCTCAAAGCTTACAAAAGTAATGGACCTGAGTCAAGCGAAGCCCCTTTCTAATTTGTCGACATGGGATTGCATTCACCAGCGAAACACACCACCAAAAGAACGATCTACAGGAAACAACTCCTCGTACTTGTACGTCTTGGCATTGATTCATGATAATAATGACAACTCTATCCATTCTAATAATGGGTGCAGCGATTGGCTTAAAGCCAAATGTTGGCTGAACGTATTTTCCGTGAGCATATATGACATTCCTGGTAAATGTGTGTTGAAGTGGCAGGATTGTTCTGCACGAGTTGGGTGCGAAATGAGTACGTCAAAAGCTTTCATTTTCCCAGCGGAAATGCACAGTATCCCTTTGATTTTTAGTATTCCTGCAATGATTTTGCAGCCGAAGTATGTCAGCCTGGGCTGCCGACCTGTCATCGATTCAGGTTGTGGAATTGCTTGCGCCATGCGGGTCTTTTTTGAGCGAGGCAAAATTTGCGGTCATTTATTGTGGTAATCTATTGGTTGCTTTGATGGGGTAACACTTATGGTTGGACCATTTGGTGATCAAAAGAAGTTGGGAAGCAATCTTCCGAGTTACGGATGACTTGAAGAGCAATAGCAATACAAGTGATGACTTAGGGAAGTGATGATTAGAGAAGTGGTGACTTTGGAAAGTGATGATTTAGAGCTATGGTGACTGAGGGAAGTGTTTTACTCGGGAAGTGATGACTTAGAGAAGTGGTGACTTAGGGAAGTGGTGACTTAGGGCAGTGTTGACTTAGGGAAGGGATGATTTGTGATGATTTTGAGAAGTGGTGACTTAGGGAAGGGATGATTTAGAGCTGTGGTGACTGAGGGAAGTGTTGACCTAGGGAAGTGATGACGTAGAGAAGTGGTGATTTAGGGCAGTGTTTACTTGGGGGAAGTGATGACTTGGAGAAGTGGTGACTTAGGGAAGGGATGATCTAGAGCTGTGGTGACTGAGGGCAGTGGTGACCTAGGGAAGGGATGATCTAGAGCTGTGGTGACTGAGGGCAGTGGTGACCTAGGGAAGTAATGACTTAGAGAAGTGGTGACTCAAAGAAGTGGTGACTGTGCGAAGTGGTGACTCAAAGAAGCGGTGACTTTGCGAAGTGGTGACTCAAAGAAGTGGTGTGACTTTGTGAAGGGGTGACTAATTTAAGCGCTTACGCGCGACAGCCGGTCAGGGGCCCATGTTGAGGTGATAGGGGTCGAGCAGGGAGCAAGAGCTCAAGGCTATGTTGCCCCATCGGGAGGCTATGTAGGTCCAGCTTGGGGCTATCGGGGGGTAGCTTGGGACTAGGTGGGCGGCGGTTGCAGGGGTCTTTGGGGCGGCATGGGTTGTGGCTGGCGTTGTGGTTATTGCTGTGGAGGTCGTCGTTGTTGTTGTTGTGGTTGTTGTGGTTGTTGTGGTTGTTGTGGTTGTTGTGGTCGTTGTGGTCGTTGTTGTTGTTGTTGTTGTTGTTGTTGTTGTGGTTGTTGTGGTTGTGGTTGTGGTTGTTGTTGTTGTTGTTGTTGTCGTTGTGTGGTTTGTGTTGTTTGTTGGTGTGTGGGTTTTCTGGTTTGTTGTTGTTCGTGTGTTTGTTGTGTGGGTTTTCTGGTTTGTGGTTCGTGGTTTGTTGTGAACGGGTTGGAGCTATACAGTATGGGCCCATCTTGGGGCTATGTTGGCCTATCTTGGCCCATCTTGGGGCTATGTTGGCCTATCTTGAGGGCAATTTGGGCCCATCTTAGGGCTATGTTGGCCCATCTTGGGGCTATGTTGGCCCATCTTGGACCCATCTTAGGGCTAGGTTGGCCCATCTTGGGGCTATGTTGGCCCATCTTGCGGCCCATGTTGGCCCATGCTACCCCATCTTAGGCCACAAGAGTCGAAAAATGGGAAGAGCACAAAACACCGTAAAACGATCCCCCTTGGAATTTCCTCTAAAGAATAAGACAACCCGGGTTGTCAATTTCTGCTTGATTCTTTAGAGAATTAACTTTGCCTGTTTGCATGGGGTCGCGTTCTCTATGAAGGGCAGCCGGGTATGATTCTTTAGAGGACTATGTTGTGGAAGCATTTTTTTGCAATTTTGGAACCCTAAAATGACCTTCTCAATTTTTCAAGTGCTGGCCAAAACATGGCTCAAAAGCCGCAACAAAACTGACACTAGACATGATGAGAGTAGCAAAATTTTACATAGATTCATACAATAACTCCGTTCATCGTTTTGCCGGGCATAGCAAAATACAGACATTAAAATGTAGCAGGCATTTTGGTGGCCTTGTGTTTCCCTAATGAAATCAGCTCCAATTCTTTGATCCTTCATAGAATATTTCAATAAAAATGGAACAGAGGCATGATGTGGCATCCACTATAGGTCTGAATCAAGCGTCCTCAATGCCTGCTCTTTCTCCCTCAACTCATTCCGAGTGGACCGTTGGCCCAAAACAGTGCGATCAAACCACTCGTCCTGAGTGAGCTGATCCTTGAAAATGGCTGGGACGTAGTGATTCCGCTCACCTTCTTGAGCAAACTTGGCGTCGCAGCTGACTATGCACCAAGAATCAGGACTCTTGTATCCAAGTCGTTACCTTCTCTCCGTTCGATCTGGATGTTTTCAGGAAGAATCCCGCACAGATAATCTCTGGCACTGAGAACCTCCAAGGCCCGATCAGGCTGAGGATCAACTGCAATGGCTAAACTCTTGCCCTGCTTCACCGCAAAAAGAAAGGCATCTGCTACCGCTAGGAAGAAACCATCGTCATTCACCTTCTCCGAGTATTTCTCGATCATCCTCTCTGTGAAATCATTCGGAAATTCTCCTGGGCTACACATGGCCAAACAATGGCAAAAACATGTACAACACGTATTGAATCTTCTGGGCTCTTCTGAGTATCCTTTCTTGAGCTCTAAAGATCTCTAAAGAATCTAAATCTGATCGGTGCTGCCACCAGCTCTCCCTCTAAAGAATGTTTTTTTCCTCTCTTCCTCCTTGGTGATTCACTGGGTCTAGATTCTTTAGAGAAAATGCAGGGCCAATGAATCTAGTAACACTGGGGAATGCAAAAGAAAGCGATAAAAAAGCATGGGTTTTGATGGGTCGACAGGCCTTAACCTCTAAAGAATCAGAACTGGCTCGGTCCCCTTCCCAATCTGTTAAAGCACCATCCCCCCAGGGAATTCCCAGAACCCCCAGTATTCCCAGGTATAGCACCAGCGGTCTTCAGAAGGCAGCTCAACAAACCCCTGTGTTGGGATCTGGGTCCTGATTCTTTAGAGACGCTTCCCCTGAAAATATCCCAAACTTATCCAAAATGAACCAAAATAACATAGAACTGTGTAAAACTATTGGGTTTTGATGGGTCGACAGGCCTTAACCTCTAAAGAATCAGAACTGGCTCGGTCCCCTTCCAAATCTGTTAAAGCACCATCCCCCCAGGGAATTCCCAGGGAACCCCCAGTATTCCCAGGTATAGCACCAGTGGTCTTCAGAAGGCAGCTCAACAAACCCCTGTGTTGGGATCTGGGTTCTGATTCTTTAGAGAGGCTTCCCCTGAAAATATCCCAAACTTATCCAAAATGAACCAAAATAACATAGAACTGTATAAAACTATTGGGTTTTGATGGGTCGACAGGCCTTAACCTCTAAAGAATCAGAACTGGCTCGGTCCAACACCATCTCCCCAGGGAATCCCCAGGGAACCCCCAATATTCCCAGGTATAGCACCAGTGGTTTTCAGAAGGCAGCTTAACAAACCCCTGTGTTGGGATCTGGGTCCTGATTCTTTAGAGAGGCTTCCCCTGAAAATATCCCAAACTTATCCAAAATGAACCAAAATAACATAGAACTATGTAAAACTACTGGGTTTTGATGGGTCGACAGGCCTTATATAACCTCTAAAGAATCAGAACTGCCAATGATCTTTAGATCAGACTGGGGAAATCTTGCGTTGCAAGAGTTATGAGTCCAACAACACAGAGAATATAGGGTTTGACGGAAAAAATATTAAAAAAAAACAAAAAAACAGAGCAACCAAAAAAAACAAACTAGAAAACCAAAACCAAGGAAAAAAACAAGAAAAACAAAAAAAGAACTGCGGAAAATGCAGGTTTTGTTTTTTTTTGTTTTTTTTTGATTTTTGTGTTTTTTTTTGTTTTTTTCTTGTTTTTTTTGTTTCTTCTGGTGATTCTTCCTGTCGATTTGTTTTTTTGGTGATTCTGTTTTTTTTAATATTTTTTTTTGTTAAAATCCACTTTCTCTGTTCTACACGGGGTCATAATGCAAGAGAGCGGCAAAAATTGAATTGAGATCAGCGAGCAGGAGCGGAGGTGTTTCGGTTTGCGCATTTTTTTTGGAATTGGGAGTGTTTAGGGCTAACAAACATTAGTAAAAATATGTTGTAGGTAGATTTCCGAAGAACCACGCAAAGCTACAAAACATACGTGAAATTTCATACGGGTGAATGTCTACAACTCAAACCCGGGTGTTCTAATTCTTTAGGCTCATTTTTTGCCCTCTCGAGGGGTGCAACCGGGTATGATTCTTTAAGCCTCATGGGTTAGAGTGGCCAACTGGGTATGATTCTTTAAGCACTGTACCAGGTGCCTGTACAGAAGGGTTCCCATTCTTTAAAGATATTTTTTGGTGGCACAGGGCGTCCCTTTAAAGAATCTGAACGCCCGGGTTAGGGACCGAATTCAAAGGGGGATGTAAAACGCGGTATATTTTGATGGTACGCCGTGGTCGGCGGCAGGGGTCGCAGCCCCTCTCTCCTTCGGAGAGGAGAGAACTGCCGTACGGCAATGCCACGGCCAGCTCCGGGCCCCGCGGCCGGATTTAAGCGCTTACGCGCGACAGCCGGCCAGGGGCCCAACTATGTTGGCCCATCTTGTGGCTACGTTGGCCAATGTTGGCCTCATGTTGACCCATGTTGAGCCAAAAGATCCGAAAAATGGGAACAGCAAAAAAACATTGTAAACCGTAGGATATTTTGATGGTCGGCGGCTTATCTTGGGGCTATGTTGGCCCATCTTGGGGCTATGTTGGCCTATCTTGAGGGCAATGTGGGCCCATCTTGGGGCTATGTTGGCCCATCTTGGGGCTATGTTGGCCCATCTTGGAGCTATGTTGGCCCATCTTGGGGCTATGTTGGCCCATCTTGGGGGCTATGTTGCCCCTATGTTGGTCCATCTTGAGGCCTATGTTGGCCCATATTAACCCATCTCGAGCCACAAGATCCGAAAAATGGGAAAAAATGGGAAGAGCACAAAACACCGTAAAACGCGGTATATTTTGATGGTCGGGGGGTGGTCGGCGGCAGGGGTCGCAGCCCCTCTCTCCTTCGGAGAGGAGAGAAGGCCTCCTGGCCGGATTTAAGCGCTTACGCGCGACAGCCGGCCAGGGGCCCATGTTGAGGTGATATGGGTCTAGCTGGGAGCAGGATCGTAAGGCTATGTTGCCCCATCTTGAGGCTATGTTGGTCCATCTTGGGGCTATGTTGGCCCACCTTGGCGCTATGTTGGCCCGTCTTGAGGCCTAGGTTGGCCGATCTTGAGGCCCCATGCTGAGGCTATGTTGGTCCATCTTGAGGCCTATGTTGGCCCATGTTGACCCATCTTGAGCCACAAAGGCCGAAAAATGGGAAAAAATGGGAAGAGCACAAAACACCGTAAAACGCAGGATATTTTGGCGACACGGGGATGTACGCGGTGGCCAGGGGGCCCCTGGCCGGATTAAGGGGCTCCGCCCGACTCCCTGGGCTGGAATATTGTGAGAAAGCATCTTGTCATTCGGTAGTCATTTCAACCAGAGCTTGGAAGGAGTGACCCCTACTTATTATTATGATTCAAGATGAGGTCTTTGCCAGTGGCATCTTGCGGATGGCATTTCTGATGGGCAAAAACCATCAGTTCTCAGGCATGTCCTCGATGCAAATACCATCTGGCACCCGCATTGGCTCATGATTCATGTTCATCCAAGAATTACAGTAAGAACATAGATGATATATTGGTATGCAAAACGAACACACACACACACTGGTTTGTTTTCATTGATTTGTTTTTGGTGCTTTTTGTTTGCCCCTTTGAGTCAATCTGCAAGATCCTGCAGATGAAATGGTCATTCACAAGCATGCATGCCCAACCTGCGGAACAATTGTTTACTCTGAACAGGCACGGGGCCGAATCAAAGCCAAGCACAAAAACAATGCCGGGCGCACATGCCGCCAAGAGCGCTTCACCGTGACCGCACGGCTACACTAATAACACTGCTAGCTCCCAACTTGCTTGCGTCCTTTTGCAGCTCGCCTACGTCTTGTACAGCCAGCAGTGCACAGTGCCAGTCGTCGCTGTCTGAAATGACTGGAAACAACTGGCAGCCACTTGCAGCCACTTGCAGCCACGCGGCCGGCAGCCCATACTGCCAAACGTTGCTTTCTGAACTGCCTAGAAACTAGCTTCGGACCTTGAATTTGCCCGCCTTTCTGCACTGCCAGCTTCCAACTTGCTTGCGTCCTCTTGCCGCTAGCTTTCGTCCTGCACGGCTCCGATCAAAGGACGGTCCCGCAGGCAGTGAAGGACGGATGGGGCCGCAGCCGGCAGCCCAGAGTGCCAAACGTTGCTTTCTGATTTGCCTGGAAACTAGCTTCGGACCCTCCATTTGCGCGCCTTCCTGCGCTGCCAGCTTCCAACTTGCTTGCGTCCTCTTGCCGCTAGCTTTCGTCCTGCACGGCTCCGGTCAACGGACGGTCCCGCAGGCCAAAACGCAATGGCAGTGAAGGACGGATCGGGCCCGCAGCCGGCAGCCCAGAGTGCCAAACGTTGTTTTCTGAACTGCCTAGAAACTAGCCTCAGACCTTCCATTTGTCCGCCTTCCTGCTCTGCCAGCTTCCAACTTGCTTACGTCCTCTTGCCGCTAGCTTTCGTCCTGCAAGGCTCCGGTCAACGGACGGTCCCGCAGGCCAAAACACAATGGCAGTGAAGGACGGATTGGGCCCGCAGCCTGCAGCCCAGAGTACCAAACGTTGCTTTCTGAACTGCCTAGAAACTAGCCTCAGACCTTCCATTTGTGCACTGCTAGCTTCCAACTTGCCTGCGTCCTCTTGCCGCTAGCTTTCGTCCTGCGCGGCTCCGGTCAAAGGACGGTCCCGCAGGGCCAAAACACAATGGGAGTGAAGGACGGATTGGGCCCGCAGCCGGCAGCCCAGAGTGCCAAACGTTGCTTTCTGAACTGCCTAGAAACTAGCCTCAGACCTTCCATTTGCCTGCCTTCTTGCACTGCCAGCTTTCAACTTGCTTGCGTCCTCTTGCCGCTAGCTCTCGTCCTGCGCCTGCGTGGCTCTGGTCAAAGGACGGTCCCGCAGGGCCAAAACACAATGGCAGTGAAGGACGGATCGGGCCCGCAGCCGGCAGCCCAGAGTGCCAAACGTTGCTTTCTGAACTGCCTAGAAACTAGCCTCAGACCTTCCATTTGCCTGCCTTCTTGCACTGCCAGCTTTCAACTTGCTTGCGTCCTCTTGCCGCTAGCTCTCGTCCTGCGCCTGCGTGGCTCTGGTCAAAGGACGGTCCCGCAGGGCCAAAACACAATGGCAGTGGAGGACGGATTGGGCCCGCAGCCGGCAGCCCAGAGTGCCAAACAGTGAAGGACGGATCGGGCCCGCGGCCGGCAGCCCAAACTGCCAAACGTTGCTTTCTGAACTGCCTTGAAACTAGCTTCAAACCTGTGTAGTTTCCATGTTTCCAGTTTTATATCTGTTTCCTGCCTTCCAAAACAAGTTGCACAATGGTGCACTCAGGTCGGAAGAACTCTTGGCATGCGGCAAATGCACACCAGGTCGTCGGGTCATGGGCTCAACTTGCTGGGTCCGGTCCGCGTCCCCCCAGGACCCCCGCCATTCGTGGAGCTGGAGCGACTGGGGTGCATGGGAAGATTGGGAAGATTGGGAAGATTGGGAAGATTGGAAAACGCTCCACAGGCCGGGACCTGGGAGTGGCTTGCTTGCATCCTCTTGCAGCTGGCTTTCGTCCTGCACAGGTCCGGTGCTTGCTGCGTCTTGCAGCTGGCTTTCGTCTTGCACAGCTCGGGTCCAAGGACCTTGTCGCAGGGCTAAAACACCATGGCAGTGAAGGACGGAGCGGGCCCGCGGCCAGCAGCCCAGACTGCCAAACGGCACTTTCTGAAGTGACTAGACACTAGCTCCAAACTTTGCCTTTGCCTGCCGTTCTGCACTGCCAGCTTCCCTCTAGTCCCCTCTTCTCTGACAGGCTCCCCCCCGGTGTTGCTTCTTGCTCGTGCCGCTTGATTGCTTTCTCCTTATCCTTTTTTTAAGACTTGCTTAACTTGATTGCTTCTGCGACGGTACTTTGACACTTGCTGCATGTACGACTTGCTGCGTGTAATTGCTTCTTCTTGCTTGCTTGCTTGCTTGCTTGCTTGCTTGCTTGCTTGCTTGCTTGCTTGCTTGCTTGCTTGCTTGCTTGCTTGCTTCTCGCTCGTGCCGCTTGATTGCTTTCTCCTTTTCCTTTTTAAAACTTGCTTTGAACCGTCTTGCTTTTGCGACGTTACTTTGACACTTGCTGCGTGTACGACTTGCTGCGTGTAATTGCTTCATCTTCTTCTTCTTCTGCTTCTTGCTTGCTCCTTGCTCGTGCAGCTTGATTGGTTTCTCCTTTCCCTTTTTTAAACTTGCTAAACATTTTTTCTCTTGCGTCCGCACTTTGACACTTGCTGTGTGTACGACTTGCTGCGTGTAATTGCTTCTCTGACGCGCTCCCCCTGCTGTCGGCAGGGGTCGGCGAATAAGAGAAGCGGTGGCTTTCTGAAGTGGGTTTACTTAGGGAAGTGGTGCCAAATCGCATTGTAATGGCTAAGCACTGTGTTTTGTTCGTGTAAAGTGGCTGCAGCGATGAAAGGCAGGGACCCCCTCGCACAGAGGAATGGTTTTCCCCACTGGGCAGCTGCGTTGGGATGGGGGGATGTTGCAGATGAGAACCCGCAAAAATTTGATTTTCCCAGTTTCGGGAAAAACCCTTTAAATATGATGGAAAGTAGTACTGAGAAGTATTTTGTGCAACCTCAACGTAGTACAAAGTAGTTTTGGGAAGTGTTTTGTGCAAGCTTTGTAGTACAAAGTAGTACTGGGAAGTACTTTGTGCAAGCTTTGTATTGCAATGTAGTACTAGGAAGTGCTTCGTGCCAGCTTTGTAGTATAAAGTAGTCCTGGGAAGTACTGAAAGTCAAAGCTTTCTGACGCACAGAAGAGCTGAGATGAGTTCAGAAGAGGTTCCATGAGACGAGAAAGGTTGAGCAATGCTTTGCTGAGATGAAACTAGCTGAGAAGAACTTAGATGACATATGAGAAGAGATGAGATGAGAAGAGATGAGGTCAGCTGAGGTGAGGCGAGAGCTCAGATGAGATGGGATGGGATGAGATGAGATAAGTGTGAAATGCGAAGTGTGAAGTGTGAAGTGTGGAGTGTGAAGAGTGAAGTGTGGAGTGCGAAGTGTGAAGGGTGGAGTGGGTGTCAAGTGTGGCCTTTGGAATGCCAAGTGTCGCTTGGTGTTACCTTGCAATGTCATCGTGCGAGGGTCATGATTATTGACCAAAACGGTGCAGCAGGTTCGCACAAAGCACGTACGCACGGGCCTGGCTGGCGCACGGCGCACACAAGTTCTATAGATGAAAAAGGTCTTATAGGATAACCCTGAGGGAACTTCCGCCCCACCTCATGCGGGTACTGCTGGTATCCATTGGTGGCTATATGGCTGGTATTGTAATATTCGATTAGTTTTTGCAGGATCTGTGGTTTGGGCTTGTGTATCAGCATTACTGGACAGGCAAATCTGCCTGATGATGATCATGGAGACGAGGAGGCGAAATTATTTCAAGAAACGAAAAGAACGGACAAGTCTCAGAAGATTCAGAAGTTCCAATGGTTCATTTCACTATTATTCACTATCACTATATCTCACACAATCTCATTGCTTTCCAAGGATTCTGAGCTAGACAGAATGAGTGCCAAGCAGTTGCGTTGCTGGCTCAAAGACCAGGGTGTGAGAACCTCAGGATATGAAGTGGCTGTGGACACCAAACTTTTTATTTTTTGAATTTTGCTGCTCGATGGCTCGATGAAACCAATGGTTTTGGACACAAAAAATGCCTGTAAAAAATGTCATGATGCTACCCCTTGGATTGGAGGGAATACAAGTCATCCATGCATTTTAGTCCTTGCCGTGTACATGTTTCTTGCGGTTTGCAGTACTTGTCGCCTTTGACCACAGTTCTCTCAAATGCAGAATTTTCCTACCGCCTGGGTGGTTTATTATATGAGTGACAGATCTATTTACATAAATTTTAGAGGCAAACGCGCACGAGAGCAAAGGGGTGAGGCCAGAAAAGGTATCGAACAATTCCGGTCAACATCCGGAGCTTTCGATCGTACTGTTTGAAAAAAATACAAACCGAGTTTCTTTCGAAACTACAGCCTTGATTTTCTTCAATTTGTTTTCTGCTAAATCCTTTCAGTTTTGCCTGGCAAACTTCCAGTTTTCGGATCAGGTTTCAGACTCTGGTTGCCTGGAGAGATCCGACTTCTTGGTCAGGGCCAAGGCGCTGGCACAAAAAAATCACATGCTGTTTCGAATTAGCATAGGGTATACCCCAATTATAAGCATTTAATGGGGAAAATGATGATCATTGGATTGCTGCTCCAGGACCATCTCAAGGAGCTTGGGGAGCACTCCTTTCCACCGCCGGGTATTCTGAGCAGGTCCAGCTTGCAGTTCAATAGTAGACTTGAGACACTTTCAAGTGAGCACGACACCCTGATCAACGCAAGAGCAGTGTTTGAACTCTGTATGCTTTGTTTATGGTTCAAGCAACTTGCTGCGAAGATGAGAGACTCCCGAGGAGCATCTTGAAAGCACTATTGAGACTGATTGGAGCACCTTATTTCTGGCAAGAAACCTCCAAAGAGTGTTTGGCTGCAAGTCCAAGCTGCTACCAAGGCATCTCCCTTCGCTGATAGGAAACTTGGACAAAACATCTTGAAGAACAAGGTAAAAATTTGAAACACTTGTTTGCAGTGTATGAATTCTCTCTCAACATTTTGTTTTTGTTGGTCATAAGAACCCTTGGCACTTGGGGGCACCCCATGTTCAACCCTTTATGTCGTGGTTCAGAGCATGTTTCGCTCGCGAGGCCTGCCCAATACCCAGAGAAATGCAGTGACTTGGCGTGGTGGCAAGCAATTCGGAGGTGCCAACCATTGGAGTTCGAAAACCCAAGCTTTTGGTGTGCAGCAGCAGAAAGGAAGCAAAATGAAAAGCAATCATATGTATATAAATAAACGATATTATTTGATATTTTATGATATTATATAAATGAGACTATATGATATTACATGATATTTTGTGATATTATATGATATTGAATACAACCGCATATACATATATACAAATATACAAATATACATATATACATATTTACATATATACATATATACATATATACATACATACATACATACATACATACATACATACATACATACATATATACATATATACATATATACATATATACATATATACATATTTACATATATACATATATACATATATACATATATACATATACACATATACACATATATACATATATACATATATACATATATACATATATACATATATACATATATACATATATACATATATACATATATACATATATATATACATATATATATACACACACATATATATACATATATATATATACATATATACATATATATATGTATATGTATATATATTACGAAAGCCAGCTAGTTGGCTAGTTGCTGTTTGCGAACGAAGTGAGAATAGGGGGTGTGGGGGGGGGTGGTTGCCGAAAGGGAACGAAATCTCGCCGTGCCCCTGTGTTGAGCGCGAGAAAACGGAGCATTTTGCTGGATTATGTACCACTAGGCAATTTGCTGACGGTGGGGTATCGATTCCCCCTAGGTCCGCCTTTTTGGCGGCCGGAGAGACCATGAGGATGTATTGGAAAATACAATGAAACTGCAGGAAAACATGATAACAATCAGAGGAAATCGTACAAAATCCCCTGGAAAACGGACGAAAACGGAGCGAATGCTAGGAACAAACCATGGAAAATCCCTTGGAAAATGGAGGAAACCGGAGCGAATGCTAGGCGCAAACCATGACGATACAGCAAACATGCTGGAAAAATACAGTGAAAGTGCAGGAAAATGTGATAACAACGAGAGGAAATGGTGCAAAAAGGATCGGAAAATGAAGGAGACAGGTAAAACTCTTGGATTAATATTAATATTGAAAAGGTATGAAAATGCAGGAAACCAGAGGAAATGGTGCAAAAACCTATGGAGCAAAGAGGTGAAAATGATAGGAAACATGTAGTAAAAAAAGGAGGGCTAATTATTTTAGTTTTTTTTTTGATCAGGTTTAGGAATTATTTTTGGATTCCTGCTTCTCTGCTTTTCCTGCTTTTCCTGCTTCTCTGCTTTCCTGCTTTTCCTGCTTTTCCTGCTTTTCCTGCTTTTCCTGCTTTTCCTGCTTCTCTGCTTTTCTGCTTTTTTGCTTTTCTGCTTCTCCTGCTTCTCGCCTTTTTTGCTTTTTTGCTTTTCTGCTTCTCCTGCTTCTCTGCTTTTCTGCTTTTCTGTTTTTCCTGTTTCTTTGCTTCTCTGCTTTTCCTGCTTTTCCTGCTTTTCCTGCTTTTCCTGCTTTTCCTGCTTCTCTGCTTTTCTGCTTTTCCTGCTTCTTTGCCTTTCTGCTGTTTTGCTTTTGTGCGTTTCCTGTTTCTTTGCTTCTCTGCTTTTTTGCTTCTCTGCTTTTCTTTTTGCTTTGCCTGCTTTAAATACTTGATTTTTATGTAAGATGCATTTTGCACAGCATTTACATCCCTGAGTATCACATGACCAACCTTCTCTTGAAAACTAGCAACGTAACATGTGAGAAGAGGTGCTTGCATTCTGCTTTGGGGGGAGGCGCTGCGCCCTCCCTCCAATCCCCCCTCCCGCTTTTTTTTAAATTTAAACTTAAACCCAAGTTACATTAGTTGGTTTTTGCGAACTAACCTTCTCTGGAAAGCTGACAGGATTACATGTGATAGAAAGATAGATAGATGGATAGATAAATAACTTGGTAGATAGATAGCTAGATAGATAGATAGCCAGCTAGATAGATAGATAGCTAGAGAGATAGATAGCTAGATACCTCGATAGATAGATGGCTAGATAGATAGCTAGATAGATAGATGGCTAGATAGCTAGATAGATAGCTAACTAGATAGATAAAGAGGTAGCTAGATAGATAGCTAGATAGATAGATGATCAAAGGAAGTTTAGGGGGAGAAACTTCCGTGTTACGGACTCTTAGAATGTCAGGGAAAGAGTTAGTCAAAGAAAGAGTTAGTGAGGGAAAGAGTTAGTCAAAGAAAGAGTTAGTCAAACAAAGAGTTAGTCAAAGAAACAGTTAGTCAGGGAAAGACTGAGTCAAAGAAAGAGTTAGTGAGGGAAAGAGTTAGCAAAGAAACAGTTAGTCAAAGAAAGAGTTATCAAAGAAACAGTTAGTCAGGGAAAGAGTTAGTCAAAGAAAGAGTTAGTCAAAGAAAGAGTTAGTCAGGGAAAGAGTTAGTCAAAGAAAGAGTTAGTCAAAGAAACAGTTAGTCAGGGAAAGAGTTAGTCAAAGAAAGAGTTAGTGAGGGAAAGAGTTAGTCAAAGAAAGAGTTAGTCAAAGAAAAAGTTAGTCAGGGAAAGAGTTAGTCAAAGAAAGAGTTAGTGAGGGAAAGAGTTAGTCAAAGAAAGAGTTAGCAAAGAAACAGTTAGTCAGGGAAAGAGTTAGTCAAAGAAAGAGTTAGTGAGGGAAAGAGTTAGTCAAAGAAAGAGTTAGTCAAAGAAAGAGTTAGTCAAAGAAAGAGTTAGTCAGTTAGTCAGGGAAAGAGTTAGTCAAAGAAAGAGTTAGTGAGGGAAACAGTTAGTCAGGGAAAGAGTTAGTCAAAGAAAGAGTTAGTGAGGGAAAGAGTTAGTCAAAGAAAGAGTTAGCAAAGAAACAGTTAGTCAGGGAAAGAGTTCGTCAAAGAAAGAGTTAGTGAGGGAAAGGGTTAGTCACAGAAAGAGTTAGCAAAGAAAGAGTTCGTCAGGGAAAGAGTTAGTCAAAGAAAGAGTCAGTCAAAGAAACAGTTAGTCAGGGAAAGAGTTAGTCAAAGAAAGAGTTAGTGAGGGAAAGAGTTAGTCAAAGAAAGAGTTAGTCAAAGACAGAGTTAGCAAAGAAACAGTTAGTCAGGGAAAGAGTTAGTCAAAGAAAGAGTTAGTGAGGGAAAGAGTTAGTCAAAGAAAGAGTTAGTGAGGGAAAGAGTCGGTCAAAGAAAGAGTTAGCAAAGAAAGAGTTCGTCAGGGAAAGAGTTAGCAAAGAAAGAGTTAGTGAGGGAAAGAGTTCGTCACAGAAAGAGTTAGCAAAGAAAGAGTTCGTCAGGGAAAGAGTTAGTCAAAGAAAGAGTTAGTCAAAGAAACAGTTAGTCAGGGAAAGAGTTAGTCAAAGAAAGAGTTAGTGAGGGAAAGAGTCAGTCAAAGAAAGAGTTAGCAAAGAAACAGTTAGTCAGGGAAAGAGTTAGTCAAAGAAAGAGTTAGTCAGGATATATGAGGTAGTCAAAGAAAGAGTTAGCAAAGAAACAGTTAGTCAGGGAAAGAGTTAGTCAAAGAAAGAGTTAGTGAGGGAAAGAGTTAGTCACAGAAAGAGTTAGCAAAGAAATTGTTCCCTCACTGTAAATGGGATTGCAAGTGGTGCTGGTGGAGGAGTTGCCGATGGAGTTTTGACGGAAGTCTCGCACGAATGCGTTTTTGAGAGATAGCAGATGCACGAAACCCTGTGTTTTTCCAGACAAAGTGCGTCCCCGAACGTCGATGATCTACCTCTGCGGTGCGACGGGTGCGAGACGGTCTCGTGTGTGGTCGGATCATTCTCGGATCATGGTCGGATCATGGTCGGATCGGTTCCGCATTGTAAATGGGGTTTCACCTGTGTTTCGTGCATTTGCGGTCGACAGAATTCCATTGTGATTTGTAACTGTAGGGTCGTTCCTGCAGTGTAAATGGGATTGCAAGTGGTGCTGGTGGATGAGTTGCCGATGGAATTCCATTGTGATTTGCAACTATAGGATCGTTCCCTCACTGCAAATGGGATTGCAAGTGGTGCTGGTGGAGGAGTTGCCGATGGAGTTTTGAAGGAAGTCTCGCACGAAATGCGTTTTTGAGAGATAGCAGATGCACGAAACCCTGTGTTTTTCCATACAAAGTCCGTCCCCGAACGTCGATGATCTACCTGTGCGGTGCGACGGGTGCGAGACGGTCTCGTGTGTGGTCGGATCATTCTCGGATCATGTTCGGATCGGTTCCGCATTGTAAATGGGGTTTCACCTGTGTTTCGTGCATTTGCGGTCGACAGAATTCCATTGTGATTTGCAACTGTAGGATCGTTCCCGCAATGTAAATGGGATTGCAAGTGGTGCTGGTGGATGAGTTGCCGATGGAATTCCATTGTGATTTGCAACTCTAGGATCGTTCCCTCAATGTAAATGGGATTGCAAGTGTTGCTGGTGGATGAGATTGGTAATACTATTGTCTTTTGCAGCTGTTCCATTGTGATTTGTAACTGTAGGATCGTTCCCGCAATGTAAATGGGATTGCAAGTGGTGCTGGTGGATGAGTTGCCGATGGAATTCCATTGTGATTTGCAACTCTAGGATCGTTCCCTCAATGTAAATGGGATTGCAAGTGTTGCTGGTGGATGAGTTGCGGATGGAATTCCATTGTGCTTTGCAACTGTAGGATCGTTCCCGCAGTGTAAATGGTTGCGTCAAGGTTGCTTTTTGCTGTGGCTGCATTGGTAATACTATTGTCTTTTGCAGCTGGACTTCGTAAATCGTATTGGAGTGGCTGCATGAAGGAAGGCTGCCGCAGTGATTTGTCAGCAGATTTTCTTCATTTTGGCGCTAGTGAATTTCCTTCTAAAAATCCTTTTAGAAAGTGCTTCAAAATCGTCTTTTTTTCGCTCTGGCGTCGAGATCCGGTTTTGGAGCTGCAATTTCCGACGCCGTTGCGCGTAGTTCTATTGTGTTTTGCAACTCAGTCTCTGCAGATCGCATTGTAATGGCTGCGTCAAGATTGCTTCGTACTGTGGCTGCATTGGTAATACTATTGTCTTTTGCAGCTGGACTTCGTAAATCGTATTGGAGTGGCTGCATGAAGGCTGCCACAGTGATTTGTCAGCAGATTTTCTTCATTTTGGCGCTAGTGAATTTCCTTCTAAAAATCCTTTTAGAAAGTGCTTCAAAATCGTCTTTTTTTCGCTCTGGCGTCGAGATCCGGTTTTGGAGCTACAATTTCCGACGCCGTTGTGCGTAGTTCTATTGTTTTTTGCAACTCAGTCTCTGCAGATCGCATTGTAATGGCTGCGTCAAGGTTGCTTCGTGCTGTGGCTGCATTGGTAATACTATTGGCTTTTGCAGCTGGATCTCGTAAATCGTATTGGAGTGGCTGCATGAAGGCTGCGACAGTGATTTGTTAGCAGATTTTCTCCATTTTGGCGCTAGTGATTTTCCTTCTAAAAATCCTTTTAGAAAGTGCTTCAAAATCGTCTTTTTTTCGCTCTGGCGTCGAGATCCGGTTTTGGAGCTACAATTTCCGACGCCGTTGTGCGTAGTTCTATTGTGTTTTGCAACTCAGTCTCTGCAGATCGCATTGCAATGGCTGCGTCAAGGTTGCTTCGTGCTGTGGCTGCATTGGTAATACTATTGTCTTTTGCACCTGGATCTCGGAAATCGTCTTGGAGTGGCTGCATGAAGGCTGCGAAATAAATTTGTTAGCAGATTTTCTCCATTTTGGCACTAGTGTTTTTTGTTCCACCTAGGTTTAGAGCAGTGTGAAGTGTGGGGCGTAAAGAGTGCAGTGTGAAGTGTGAAGTGTCCTCGATTTTCATTCGTTCTTATACCCTTTCTTACGTATGTTATAATATTGTCTTGGGTTTGCACTGCCCATTTTGCGAGTAGAGCTATGTTTTGATTTCTCACCGTACGGCCAAAATGTTGCGGAACTTCGCGGAGAAGCATGGACCACGCTGGGGAGAAAACAATTTAGACTTTGAGAGGTCACATGACCACTGTTCACACAAAAAAGCGGGTATTATTTATCTACAATAGGTGGGAGCAAACTTGCGCTGTTTTAAGATAAATGAGCAACCAAAGGCGGATTTACGGAACTTGAGATAGAACTTTTCACAATGCCGCAGTACATTGCAGGAAACATATTTGGATATAGAAGTTACAAAATCGTGGAGTTTACCCTAAAAAGGTCCATTTAATGATTGGAAAATTATGACCCGATAGCAATTGTTGATGTTGGGGCGCTTCATGTTTGAGCCATGCCATATGGATGAGGTGGAGTTTCACGCGCCCCCGCGCGAGTCAAAAAGCAAGCGCTGGCTTTCGTTCCACCCCTTCTCAGGTATGTATATATATGTATATATTTGTATATATATGTATATATATGTATATATATATATATGTAAATATATGTAAATATATGTATATATATATATATGTATATATATGTATATATATATATGTATATATATATATATATGTATATAAACATATACATACATATGTATGTTGTCCGCGCTCCTTCTTCTACATACACATAAATACATATATCCATACATATATATACATATATATATACATATATATACACATATATATATATATACACATATATATATATATGGTCACATATTATATATAAATTAATGTGTAGTGTGCATTTCGATTGTAACAATCTAATACAGTTTGATATTACCAAACTGGTACTTAGCATTCAACATTGATGAGTTTGTTCACAACCACCTCCACATTTGGCTGAGTCGATGGCTTCGATGGCAATCCATTTTCAACGTTCTGCGTGTAGCCTATGTGGCCGGTGATGATGCTCACCGCTCTGTGCGAGTCATGAGGCGGAATCAGCAGCCAGTTGAGCTGTGTTGGTTGATTATTCCAGCTGAGGTATACCAAGGTCTTGTTGGGATCAACGATGATGATAGCCTTTGATGGGATTTCTTATCAACCAACACTGTTTGTTTGTTAGTTTGTGGTTTGAGCCGTTTTGAACCTTTCGGCCTTTTATTACTTTGGAGCGCCGACACAAAAGCCTGGTAGGGCCCAACGAGATGAACTGGGAGCCTTGCAAACGTCAGGCCAGGCGGCCAGGCCCATTCGCTGTCCATGTCCTGTGTCACCAGTTTCTGCCATGGACAGGTGCTGGCATCAGTGAAGATGAATTTGCCCCATGACTGCATGGCTGGCATGGCTCATTTTCCACACTTGATCTTCACTCCACAAGTCCGGATGTCTTTGGGGGTCTGATAGTTTGCGTGGGAAAGACTCGAGGCTTACTCTACAGATGGACTGGATCCAGACAGCTCTTCATTGAACCTGCAATGTGCAAGACTCAATGCTTCGATGTGTGAAATCCCACGATCCGTGACACCAGTTCTGTGTAGAACGGTGCACCGCAGAGGTGATGACATGCCTTCGGGCTTTTGCTGTGGATTGCCGATGGCTTTGTGCTTTGTGCTGACTTCTCGTCAGCAAAATCGTGAAGATATACAATCTATAACAAAATAGGGCTGTGATGGGCTTTAAAATCCCTAGTGGTTGATGAATATCATGACACAATGGAGATTTTTAGCACTCAAAAACTGATTCAGAGCCATTGTGCGAAAACATGCCAGAAAACCACGGTGTTTCGAGGTCTCCAAAGAAAATTCGCATCGACACTGGAGACGAGAAATGTGCATGTGCAGGACCCGAAGAAGGTTGCTGCCTCAGTGTTGGTAAAGCAAGTCCGCTGTGCCTCATCTTCTGCAGTGATTCTTATCAGGATTGCATATTTCGTGTTATTTCATCATATTCGCAGATTTGCAAAGGAGAATTAATTTCCTCTATCTTAGATTCTAGATGTTTTTTTGGAGATGTCTTGACACTTATTGCACTGGAATGTACAGGTTCTCTAAGAGGGCGTAACATTGTATAGAGTTGTCCGAGGCGGAAAATTTGGAACACAGGAAGCGATAGACAAGTATTGCAAAGAGGCCTGGTTGCGTGAGAGGTCAAGGGTGTGTCCATGGTCACGCTTTCAGCCTCAGTTGAATTGTTTGGAGCCACATCCTAGTTGACTGGAAAAGCCACACTTGACAGTTTCGGGTCTTTGGACCAGTTCCAAAACAATTCGTGTTGCCTTGTCTTTCCCCTTGGAGTGGTTCTGTGCATCCTGATATATATATATATATAGATCACCTCTCTTCGACCGCCGGTTTCACCGGTGACAGGTCATCCAGCCCTGTGCCTTGGTCCCCAATGGTCCCATGGTCCCCATCCCATGGGTCCCAATGGCTACGGTGAGGCAAGCAGCTCTCGCATGTCGTGTGCTGCGATATGTCGCCCAAAATGATTCGCCATCACGAGACCCGGCTGACCTAAAGATGCACACCTAAAATTGGAATGCCTCATTTTTTTCAGCATCAGCAACTTGAGAGACAACAGTGACAGCCAACATTTTCTAAATCGCAAAGAATTGCTGACTGATGACTGATGAGTGGAAAACTTGTCGGGGGTTGTATTTTTGATGCTCAGAGCTTTCTTCCCTTATTTTAGTTGAGCACTGCATAGCACCATCGCCAGACCAAGGATGGGAATGACCAATGTTGGTGCAGTGGTCCTCAGCCAAATACCTCCTATAGCACGCAGCCAGCTATTGATGTTTCTTTGGCTGCAACACACAGGGTTGAAATTCTGTTGAAGGAGTTGCGAATTCTGATCGATTCTACCAAAAGTCTAAGGACTGGTGTGCGTCTGTGATCAAGCCTTGTTCGGCTGTTTCAGAAGGTCATTGCTGCACGGGGCATAGCATGGTGCAGGTTCAGCTTTTTGTGTTGCAGAAGGTGACAATCACTGCCACAGCTTTCCCAACAACTCTTGTCGTTTCAGCATCGCTTGTTTGGCGTTCCTAACATTCTTGATACCGACAATGCAATCTTTGTCCTTATCTTCTCTTGCTTTGGACATTGATCACTTGCACATGATTTTATCGTTTCCATCCGGATTCCATCCATCGGAAAGACATGCAAAAGCGCGCGAATGATAATTCCATCCCTTGGAGCTCCGGCCCGAGGTCAAATGCATCCAAAGCAAATTAGACAGGCCCTTCTCGGAGAAGTCTGCGAGCAAATTACAGACATTTGGTGAAGTTGGTGAAGTATTTGCAGAGTTTGGTAGGTGGTGGGGTTCCATCAGAGGCTGTTGTGGTCTAACCACGAAACACTTCTTTGCAGTTGTTTCAAAAAAGGTCTGAAGAATGAAGAGCTTCTGCTTGCGATTTGTAATTGTTTTTTGGAAAAAATCATCCAAGAGCTTGGCAACTTCGCCATGACTTCGCTATGGCTTGGCATTGGTCATGGAGTGGTTGCAGAATGGTTGCGTCGTGATCGCAGGGAGCTGGCGACAAGTGCTGGTGCAGCGGCCCATCTTTAGGCAGCTGCTAGGGAAACCAATGGCTGATTTTTTTTGGTGTGTCGTATTGCGGGTATAGATACAATTTTCAGAATCCAAATGGAAGAATTTCTGGCCAAGCTCCAAGCAGCTCAAGCCTTAAGTACTTCAGGTACGCGATTCCCATCTCAGGCACACATTGACCAGGCATGCAGCGAGGTGCATTCTCAGCTGTGAAAGAGAACTTGCTGAAGCCAAGCACTTGCATTGCACTTGTTTCACTTGACAGTTGCATACAGTTGCTACGTGATGACTTGGCAGGTGGTGAAGCCGTGTTCTGAAATCACCCGCACGCAATGCTGCTCACTTTCGCCCAAGCAGATTCGCCATCAAGCTGCAACTAAGAGCTGCAGCTTAGCAGTTTGTTGTCCACCAGGGAGTCTACTTTAGATTACTTTAGCATGGCTCTGAGTTCTGTGAGTGTTTGGTGCTGCTCTTGATTCCGGAAGCTTCTTGAAAGATTCCGCCAAATGTTCTGCCGGTTTTTATGCAAAGCAGTGTCATCCTTAGCCAGGCTACAATGATGGACGTGATGGGCGACTTGGATTCGACATAGATCTGTGGTGGTTCCTTTCCGCTCGGCGGTTCCATGCCTTGGATTCCGTGGCTCCAGGTGTTGGTGCAGCGGCCCGGTGTTGTGCTCAGTGACTCAGGGATACGCTACGCGATACGCCACTGCGGCGATGCATTGCGATGTTGTAAAAACACACCAAGGTTAAAGGAGAACCATATTCCACACAGATAATGATCGATGAATGGTCATTTGGCTGCAAGAATTCTACAGACACAAACTGGCACAGATGCAAGGGCAAACCTACTATAGGGATCCAGCTTGTGCATTGAATGCTTTCATTTGACTGGATTGAATGAAGGTTTTGCTCTTATCGACATCCTAGACTCAGACTTGGTTGGACTGAGTGCAAAGATGAATTTAACTTTCAGCTGGATATGATACCATCTTGTGCTTTCGAGAATCGGAAGGTGCGCCAAAGCAATGGCCATCACGACGTCAACAACCACCGCTACCTCACATATAACTACCGCGCCCACCACGACCACGACTACGCTGGCAACTGTTGATTGCAATGAGGCGAAAGTGAGTTGTGTCACGTTCTGCCGTGACAGTCAGAACGAAACAGGGTGCCATCACGGATGGTTAAGCAGAGTAATTACATCAAGAAAATAAACATCACATTTGTAGGACATTTTTTCTATCAATAACTAGACATAGCTATGGATCATTATATATCATTTGAAATTTTGCTATGCACAACCATATTTTTTGAACTTTCCATCTTTTTTTTGGGACCGACAGAAATGACTTGGCACGACTTGGCAGGTCTCAGAGGCCGGAGATTTTTCTGCGCCACGGATGGACTCGTCGTTTTTGTTTGGTGCATTGTAGTGCTGGTTGACCAACCCAACTATTATATAGTGTTATTGGATTTACTAGTAAACAAACATGTTTTGTTAGGACCGGACATCCAATATTTCGAGCCATACTCGTATTGTCGATTTGACACCTACCCATAGGGTCAATGCCTTTGACATCGCAGCCTACTGTCCCCATAAAGCTGTTGCAGGCAAAGTGCTGTGCAATGACACCCAAGCACACCGTGGTAAGGTTGCCTGGCGATAGGCGTGGCAGCGGAGCGAACCCAGACATTTTTTCTAATGTTAATAGTATAATATAGTATATATAAAGTATAAAACATCAAAATATTGGTGGTTAAGAAAAATATTGCTTTCCTATGCTTTACTAACATTATTGGAATTTCCAAGTTGTTGGAACTGCTGAAGATTCCCCATCTTTTGCTAAGTTTGCGCTGGTTGCTAAGCTGGAAGTTGGACTCACTGCAGGTGCTATTGCGCTTCGAACTCCACTGGCAAGTCGCAGCAAGTTGGGCTTCCAGACCGTGACCAGTTGGACCGTGGTGACGTGGTGACGTGGTGACCAGCTTTGCAGCACATGCGTAGAGTCCCTTAGTCGACTCCGCACCGCGACTAAGGCAATCGACGCGAGCTGCTATAGCCTAAGGGAGCGACAAAAATCCTGCAATTTCGGGACTGCAACTGAATTGAATCTTCAAACGTATTGAGGGATGAGCACTCCTGTGAGGATGTAAGATCTTGACATTTTGTAGATGGCCGTGACGCTGTGAATGATGAATTACTGGAATTACGAAGCGATGCCTTGCAGAACTCAGGTGCTGAAGTGGTGAGACCATGCACTTCATTCCGACAGGTCGGATCGCAGTATGCGGGCAGGGGATGGCAGGGGTGCTACTCACCTATAGTGAACTCACCCCGCCGGATCCAAAATCTTGCGTTTAGTTGGGGGGGACTTCCCGGGAAAGTCGCCCCAACATGCGTTTACTTGCTGTGGATCAGTTGCGTAAGATAGAAAACGATGCTTTAGAAGTAAATTTTGCTTCATTTAGCTTGTGTTTACACTGGTGAACTTGTTTTTTTGTCATGCCTGGCTCATTCATGTGACCTTCAAGCAAATCCAGTCACGTGTTTACATGTCGCCCTGCCGGGGGTGGTGCCTTTCTAGAGTAGTTGCATCGATTCATCTAATTACAGTAGATGCTGGCCTGCAGCTAGGCTGTTGTCGGGCTGATGCTAAATGGCTGCGGTGCTGAGCTGCTGCCAGACTGCTTCTAGACTCCTGCTATAGAGACTTGCTGCCGGGCTGGTGGTACTGCTGCTAAAGCTGAGGGGGTTCCAAAGCTATTTTCTGGCCTCGTTCGGGCCTCGTTTTGGCCTCGTTTTTGGCCTCGCTCGGAACCCGTTGCGGAAATATTGAGTTGAGATGTAAATCAGAACCCCATAGATTTGTTACCAAAACATACCAAAACATACATGAATCATTCGTTCACATTGTGTTTTGATCCAAAAGATGACATTTCTTAGATGTACTTGTTACACTTTTAACATTCGAATTGGATGCGTTTTGTAACAAAAGAGATATCCTACCCAAACATACATGAATCATGCGTTCACATGGTGTTTGGCTATCAAAATATATCGTTTTTTGATAATTTTCCATAGTTTAAGACCATTGGGGTGACTTGCGTTCTGATTGTGTTTTGCACATTTGGGATGATATTTTTTTTGTACTTTTTCATTTTTGTGCTGCGTTTACAATGGGCGAAGAAGTTGGGGTGACTTTTCCTGGCAGTTGGGGGACGTAGTTCCATGCGGGAATGACACCTGACTGCAACGTTGGGGGACCTTCGGTGGCCTACTAGCAAACCTTGGCACACGATTTGAATCAAAGCAGCAAGAAATAACATGAAATAACTTGGCACTGTTCGGTGTGAGTGGATTTTTGAGGGTATCGGAGGGTGAATCAGAATCACATGGCTCGAGATGAGTTGACACTGGCAGTCCCTTCCCTGCAGGAGGATTGCTGCCAGGCTTCACCACGAAAATATCTCGTTGGTGATCAGAAGGGTGGCCTGTCGGAACAAAAGCGAAGAAGCTAAGAAGCGAAGAAACGCAGAAAAACATGCTGGGGATGTAGGACATATATGGAAATATCAAAGAAAGCAACCTACTTCAAGCCTTGCTAAGAAAGTATGTGTAAATTATATGCAGTAGCAGTAGATTTAAATAAAACTGATTCATTTCGACAATAAGCCATCGAGATTACAGTCTTGTCTAAGGTGTGCAGACTGCTGTTGGCACCGACGATACAAAGATGTGTACATGTGCTGGCCCTCTGAAGGCCGCGATTTCTTACACCTGCTCCTGCTCGCACACACTCGAATGTGCAATTAGCAGAACATGCAGTAACATGCAGCACAGAAACTTGATAAAACTGCCATCAATCAGTGTGAACGGTGGCTATTTGCACTCTTTTGCACTGGCTTTCAGGGAAGTCGCTACACCCAGCAACAGGCGTGGGCTTACCGTGGGCACCTCGTTGTCTCCAGGTCCCCAAACTTCGATCGGACTCGGAGAATTGCAATCCTTTCAAGTAAAGAAGATTGAACAGAGGACATCCAGCCAAAAAGATGTAGTGATGCTACGTGATGCTCTCGTCAAGACTCAGATATCCCCAGAATGAAACCAGAAATCAGGAATTCAAATTCTACCAGGAATGAAGAATGAGGAGAGACTAAGGGCCTAAACCTTCAAGGCAACACGCTGCGCTAGGCCTTTATGCCACATTTATGCCCACGGTTCCAGAGTAATTCTCAATTTGACTTCCTCAGTCCATGGCCACTATCCCGGCACATGAAACCCTTGACAGGCGATCGATGAAGCCTGCTCAAGGCTTTTCACCCCTTGCAGCCAGCTGCAGCAGGTGTGTCCTCCATGTGCCATGGTCAATACGGGTGGTTAATTTATGTTGGTGATCCATACTAGAGATGGTCATGAGTCACGAACTCGATTCAATAGGTGCACATTATATAGAGACTCTTGACCGTGGCACATATCAACCCTTCAGATTTCTGCTTCACCATTTGACGCTTCTCTAATCTAAATTAGGCCATGGATCAAAAGCTGAAATACCAGATTTGCGGAAGATGCACATATAAAACCTAGCTGTTTTGGGTTCACAGTGATTGGGTTTTGAGCCATACAAGTAGCCATTTTGCTGCTCTTGCCCAACTCTCAAGCAGCCTCGATGCACCCTGCACCAGGTCAGCTGTTGCTTGTCATCACCGGCGAAATTCAGAGACGGACGCGGCTTGGCTTGGCTTCAGGTCATGTGGCTTCACACCATGGGTGTAGCTCGACTTTTTCAGGTCGGTGCATGCTTTCCTCACCAAAGCCTTATAGGTGTCCATACTTGGTACTGTAGGTCAGCAAACACTTCATGGTTGAAGAATAATACGTTTTGGTTATGGAATAATCCTTGGTTGAGGAATAATACGTTTTGGTTACAGAATAATATGTTTTGGTTATGGAATAATCTGTTGACCTACCCCTACCCCAACACATACTTCGTACTTTCCTGTCCAACCGCACGTGTCCGGGCAAAACCATTCCTGCGCCTGGAAACTTTTTCACCGGAAAAGCAACAGGATGATGAGGATGCACAAATATTATCCTATTGTTTTTTGATGTTTTTTGTCTCCTCCCAACCCATCAACATTGGCCCCTGATTCAACATCCCTGCTAGCTTTCGTCACCTACCCCTGGCCTCAGGTGGTAACCAATGCTTTTGCTCCGGACCTTCTCCCCGAGGGCTTCTGAAGACTCAGCAGGCAGCTTGAGTGCTGAATTCTCATGACTTGCGCAGCATTCAACAAGCGCGTATTCTTTGCGCGTTCTGCTTGTTGTGGACCCATGTGGACCGTGGATCCATCTGGATCCATGTCAACCCATCAAGTCGTGAACCGGAGGACATTGACACGAAGTGCAGTGAAGAAATTCAGCACCTCGGCTGCATATGGCTGCCTCAGCTGTCTGGTGTGGATTTTAGTGGTGCTGGCTGTGCAACCTCCAAGGTCTTGCAAAAGCCTTCCTGCGGTAGCATGCTGCTCAAAGATTCCCCGCCAGGTCAGGACAGTAACTTCTTCAGGATCCCAAACGGTCCATTGGCTGGACACCGATGTTTTCTTGAAAGGGGTACGTATGTGCAAAAGAAACCACGCTTGAACGTACACCTGGAGTATGGAGTGAACGTACACTTATATATAAGTAATGTAATGTGTTCTGAGTGGAAAACATTTTACCGTAAAATGCATTCCGTGCCTTCCCTCAGTCCAAGCCAAACAGCTGTCATTGTTTCCCTGCGGTCCAGAACGAGTCATGGTCACAATGGGCAGTTTTGCTCTCAAAATATGTAGAGTTTCTCTGGAAAGGACAGGAAGGTCTAAGCCCAATCAGATGATTTACCAGGCATCCCCTCAATTCTCTGCAACGGCGAGAGGTTCGAGTTGGCGATGGCGCAGGGCGCTGCTGGTGTTCTGGTCCATTCGTCAATGGCACCTGGTTCGCAATCGTCACTGTGGCATTTTCTGGGCTCTGACCCTTTGGAACCGGCAGCTGTCCTCGAAATTTCAAGAACTTCCCAATCCTCACTTTCCTATCCCCAAAAACATGATTTCGCGAAGTTCTGATTTTGCTGCGCCAAGGTAATGTGTCGCATTCCCAAGAGATGATCAACTCCTTATGCTCTTCAGTCCTTGCCTCAAGATGCACACAGTCCACAGGTCCATACAGGTCCTATCAGGTCCTGAGCCCTGCTGTCACTGTGACAGAAGAAATTGCGCCAAGGAAAACCCGCAGACTCTGCAGATGGCATGACTTCACGCTGTGCTGTGGTGCGAAAAAGTGCTTGCTCAGATTCTTTGCAAAATCCAATAGTTGACTGTCGCACACCCAAAGAATTCCAAACACATTGTGTTTGTATTCAACCCGACAATGTTTGAGTGCCATGCGTGTTCTTTCTTACTGTAAAGCAACGTAGGAAAGTGTTGGCTTAGCCCCCCCAAACATCCTGCTGGCTTTGCAGGCCCATCGGAAGTGTGTCACTCACACGGCCAGAAACTAAGTCGACTGAGGAATTAGTCTTTGCAACAAACATGAGACCCCGCGAAAGTTTTTTGCTGAGTCCGCGAAAGGAATTTAGAGCAACCGCAATATAATGCCATATATATAATATAATATATATATATATTTATATATATATTATATCCTGTATATATATATATATGTTATATAAATTATAGCAAATCGGCGAAGTTGATCAAAGCAGATCCTTTCAGGTCGCAAGCATCCATTCTCTCCCAAGTCATCATGGATCATGCAGCTGGGTCGGACCGATCTTTTCCCATCCGCCCTTCAAAAATGTGTACCCTGTGGTCATTTAACATAGCTATTGAAAATTGCCATAGAAATAGTGGATTTACCCATTGATAGCATGGTGATTTTCCATAGTTATGTCAACGTTTACCAGAGGGTATCTGCAGTGTCACCAGATGCCACCAGGACATTGCTCTGATTGGCGAAAAGGGCTCAGGGAAATCTACTTTGGTGAGAAGCCCAGCTGGATAGCTGGATTCGCTGCTGACACGACACCTGTCATCACCAAGGTGAAGGCGTTCGCATCCATCTTGGGCTACAGGTGCAGAGTCCATTCCTCCATAAAATCGACAATCTGCAGGTTGATTTGCACTGGGGATTCCCTGACATTTATATAATTTTCTATACATTTATTCCAGATTTGGATCCTTCAATCCTTCACCCACAGTTTTCTTGGTCCATGGCTACCTGGCTACCTCAGTTTCCCCTCAAGGTTGACTCCGTCCCAGGACTCGCGACATCTTCTGCTACCGCGACATGAGCTCAAGAGACCTGCTACAACACCGTACGCTCCTGGACTAAGACGTCCACATTCGATTCATTCTGGGATGATGTTTACAACAAGGCCATAACAACATATCACAGCCTCAATATGAAATGATGACAGTACACGTATTTATTGTATATATATAATATAATAATATATATATAATATAATATAATATAATATAATACAATATAATATAATATAATATAATACAATATAATATAATATAATATTATATAATATTATATAATATTATATTATATTATATACTATTATATAATGCAATATAATATAATATCATATAATATAATATATTATAATATTATATAATGCAATATAATATAATATAGTATAATATAGTATAATATAATATAATATAATAAAATATAATATAATATAATATAATATAATATAATATAATAATATATATATATATATATATTATAGAGACTATATAGATCATCGACGGGTAGAAAGGACAATTGACCCCAACATGTTGTCAAGGTGCATTTTCAGTGGAAGTTGCGATCCATTCGTCATCTCCCACGGGCTCAGGACTGATCCTTGGGGAAACACGGCTTGGGCGGACTCTCCATTGGTGCAGGCTGCGATTCATGGCGACTTGGCGGTACTGGATGGCATTCATCGTTTGGCCAAGGCCGACATTTCTGCCGTAAGGCTGACAACCTGACATGGGTATGGGTCAATACCTATTAATACCATTTTTATTGGGATGAACATCCATTTACCAGCTATTTTGATGTTCACCAGGGGTACAAGGTTTTGAGACACTGCCACATCAAGACTGTATGTGACTGCAAATGGGAGGACACTTTTTCGATTTTATGCCTAATTGGAAGCAAAAGGGCCAATAAAAGATCACTCCGTGCGAATACATTTCAACATATTTCAACCAGGACGGTTCGAAAGAAGTGGATCATTGCGAAATACTTGTCGCTTGCGGAAAGAATCCTGGACCTGGAAAGTAGATATGTAGTGTCTTATAGCAACACAGGGAACAACTCAAAACCAGGCATTTATTGAGTCTGGCAGGATGTGTAGTGAAATCCAGAGGAAATGAGGTGTCTTGAGAGGGGGAGGGTCGTTCGAATTTTGTTGCGGTCATTCTTGAGCCTTGCGTCGTTTGACGCGGCTTGCAATGCTTGCTGGAACTGTCCGTTTTTTCGAGCCATTGCGTGAGACATGGGTAGATGATCGTAGATGACTATGCTGCCTATGCTTGTGAACCTGGGGTGATGCTATGTTGCTATGTTGCCTCAACGCCAGGGAACACTTTATGGCGCTTTGGGACCTCTTTTGGCAGACCGATGGTGCTCACTGCCAGATGGAACGCTGCTCACCTCAATCACTGCAGATGGCACAAGCCAAGTTGCATACGCTGGAACCTCTGGGATGAACAATAGATGGACTCTGTGGGGCGGTATGGGTCAAAAAACACAGATTTATTGAAATAGCATTTTGGGGTACACGACTTCATACTTGTACTATATATATATATATATATACATAAACCAACGGGATACGCACAATTCTCAACTCTCTTAGTCCACTCTTGTGTGCGTGGCCTTCTATGCTTGTTTTGCATTCAAACTGGGAGGCCCAGGCTTGTCCCATTTTCCTTCTCAAATCCTGTTTCAAAAACCTTCATCACGCGGTTTTTCTTCATTGTTCTGGAACGCAAGCTGAACTTTTTCTTTTCCCGGAAAGGCTTCTCTTCTCTGCCAGCCAGTGGTCCACATTGATGAACAGAGGCGAGTTTTCGGGATCGAGAGATCAGTGTCCACTTTGCCGCTGCCTGCATCGCAGGTGAGAAGGTGAAAGCAGCGCTGCTGGCCTCAGGAGCTCGGAAGGCAAGCACAGTGATTTGGTGTACAGAGACCATTCCCTTGGTGTTTAATATATATATATATATACATATGTATGTAGATGTTTAAACATGTTGCCATGAGACACCGGAGTGTCCAGCAGACTCAACTGGGTCTGATAGAAAGCAATGTTGAGAATGATGGATTGATCATTTTTTGTGGGACGACACGCATCACGGTGTCGTTGGCGGCAGAGTTGCCCTTTCACCTAGCCTTCGCTGCATGGCCTTGTTGCAGGTCAGCCCTGCGTTTCGAGTGATCGCCTGTGGTGACTTGCCAGAGCTAAAGCCTCAGGGGTCGAGATTTACAGATTTCAAAGGCAAACGTTTCAAACAAAAAGGTTTCTTGAACCTGAGGCCTTCAAAGCCCGGCATGTCTGGAAACTGGATCGATGATGAGGCGCTGGAAACTGCATACATTGGCGAAGTTGACTCTTGAAGCTGGACAGGTGTCAACGCTCTTCAACTTTCACGTGCTGCTGGACCTTCCATTTCCTGAACTGCCAAGCCCTTGGCACTGCTGTTCTTAAGTAGGCTGTGCCAAGCCCCGATTTCTTTGCCAATCCCTTTCTACCTATAGTTTCAGGGCTTTGACCTCTTCTCACCGAAGTGCACTGCAGAGGCGCAAATTGGTTGAGACTGTTGCCTCCAACCACTCGAATGCTGACAACGAGGAGTCCATGAGACGTGTTCAAGGCAGGCATTCAGATGATGCAGCTCAGCACAGGCAAAGCAGCGCATCGGCAAGCTTCTTTCCTTCAGCCTGGTTCTCAGATGCTCCCAGACTTTATTCCCCAGAGAGGGACAACTGTTGGCTTTTTCTTAGACTTGGCACCTTTGCGGCTTTCGTAGAGTCTCGCTGTTGCTCCTGTGGAAGCTCACGGCTTTGATATGCGATCAGTCCCCAGGGCACTTTCTTAACGGTAACGCGCGGGGATGGGACGAAAACATCCAAGTTTGATTTGAACATGCAAACATGTTTGTCTGTTGTAATGTCTTCTCAGGCCAAGCGGTAAAGGCTGCATGCAAGGACCCTGATCTGAAGCCACTGCAGCTGAGTACAGGGCCCAGGAAGCAGCTGACCGGAACTGCCAAGTGCGAAGTGCTGGTTGACCCAGGCCTGCGAGCTTTGTTGAGGACTGCCAAGTGCAGGGCTCAGCAGCTTAGCTCAGAAGATGTCAGATTCTCGATGTTTATTGCCAAAATTGTCGGCTCGCCTTCGAGCTCGAGGCTTTTGGCAAGCCAGAACGATTTGGCCGGTGCACTTGTAACGCCCTCAGTATGATACAATGGATGAAGTTGCGATCTGAGACCTGAGACCTTTTGAATTTCAGCCTTCGAGTCATCGTTCAATTCTCCGAGGATAGAGCTTTCTCAGCACGCTTCAAGTTTCTGGAAGCCTTTCAGCGGGTGAAGGGCGAGAAGCTCCTTGCCGAGGTGGGGAAGAAGTGCACATTGGATGCCACTAAGCCTTTACAAATCTTGGCAGGCCGGAATAGAAGCCTTGGAGACCACTGCAAGATCTGCAGAGTCTTTTTCCCAGACTTTACTGTAGTATATACGTATTATACTGGATGATAATTTACGATGTATACTACCAGTATGCACTATCTATAGATACTGGTATCATCTGGATCTATGTCTATGTATTATACGCACATGCAAATATAGACTTATGCTTTCTTTGCCATTGACAGTACTAAGGTTGTCGCCCAAACAATTGGACTGCTTGCGACGGAGTCCTGCTCGTCCAGAGCTTGTTCCAAAGGCCCGTAGTTTTGGCCTGTTGGTTTCCGGGAGAGGCGGTGAAGAAAAAGTGCAGCCGAAGGTGCAATTTGTGCAGATCGCCAACCACCTCGTGGTGCTGTGCCTTGCTCAGCAAGCGCAGCCGAGCTCACTGTCCTAAGCTTCCGAAGCTGAGCAGCTGAGCTGAGAGGCAGAACATGTTGGCCAGCTGGAGTGCTGGGCAGTCTGCAGCTCAGACATCGCCTGCAACACGATCCGAGAAGAGGCGTTTTTTTCAGGATCCGTTGACGGCAATGTGGTGCTGACATGAGGCACCTTTTGCTGGTTGGCAATCAGGGGGTCAAAGTCTCAGTATGTGAGCTTCTTGTGTCCCTGAGCCAGTAAAGATGTATACTCTGATTGGTTGGTTATGATATTTGCTATTATGATAGTTGATATATAACCTAGTTCAATGGGGATTATGTATTATAACCCATATTACTATAACCCATGATAGGAATACACATCAACCAATGCGATAGGGCTTTTTTGGCAGCGAGATGTTTGCAACCGCTGTTTCTGTAAACATATGAGAGGTGGGCAAGAACAAGCTTGCTGACCATATGCTGTCGTTGCTCTGCTGCGAACGTGAATATGCCCTGCCCTCAAATGCTGCTTTTTTTTTGGGGCGTCTAATCAGCACTCTGTCACGTGCAGTTAGGGCACCCAGATGTACCCAGAAGAAAACTGATGTTTTGAAAGGTCCAGCTCCATCGAGACACTACGCTGCAGAGTCTGACGGTGACGCCAACCCTTCAGGCTTGGACAGTTCCAGGTGACGTCTAGTCACTCACTCTTATCCTGGGTCCTGGTTTGTCAAAAAAATGTGGATAAGCTGTTTTTTCATGTGTTTTCCCCCCCCCCATGGGTTTCCCATCAGGTACCATACGAGACTCGCTCGGCCAGGCTGGGGTCGTGTCTTGGCGAGACTCGGCGCTTCTTCGTGCTGCCAAAGCAGGGCGATGCGTGGTGGTGGATGAGGCCGATAAGGCTCCACTGGAGGCGATGGCGTTCTCCGCTGGAGAACCCCCCAAATTGTGGAGACTCTAGCGATGGAATGGATGGAATGGATAGATGTTTTCAACATTTAAGTTATCAATGCTTGCTCGTTTGATTCGTTTCTTTGATGTTTCATGATATGCGCTGAAAATAGAGTGTGGAAGCCTCAAACTGGTGTCATACAGGAGTTTCTTGGGAACTAGTTTGAGCTTTTATGTTCAAGTTCAGATGCCTAATTTTGATGAATTTTGTATTTCATCCTACCTCAGTCAAGTGTCACCGTAGCTGAGAACTCTGATGTTGTCAGGTGGTGTGTATCCTGAAGGCGGGGTTGCGGGGGTCAGAGGTTGCAGGGTTCCCCGGGTTCCCCAAGCAACAAACCAATTGAATCCAATGCATCTAGCAGCTCCAGCAGCCCGGAATTGCCAGGAGAATTGGATAGTTATCAAAATGATCAGCATTTTATTTGGTTTTGATGTTTTGATATGTTTTTAGGAGGGTAATTTAATCTGTTTTTTTTTTGATTTTTTTTTTTTGGTCCTGGCTCCTGGTGGCTTCTGTGGCTTCTGTGGCTCCTGGTGGCTCCTGGTGGCTTCTGCGGCTTCTGTGGCTTCTATGGCTCCTGGCTCCTAGAGCTCCTCGCTCCTATGGCTCATTTATCATCTATCGATCAATCTATCAGTGAAGCATGTTCACCAGGTGCATGTTGTGCATTAGATCTATCTATCTATCTATCCATCCATCGATCTATCTATCTATCTGTCTATCTATCTGTCTATCTATCTATCTGTCTATCTATCTATCTATCTAACTATCTATCTGTCTATCTATCTAACTATCTAACTATCTCTCTATCTGATTCTATCTATATCATTCTATATCTATCTAAATCTATCTATATCTATCTATATCTATCTATATCTATCTGTATCTATATCTATTTCTATCTATATCTACGTATCTATCTCTATCTATATCTATCTATATCTGTATCCATATCTATATCTATCTATATCGATATCTATCTATATCCATCTATATCTATCTATATCTATCTATATCTATCTATATCTATCTATATCTATCTATATCTATCTATATCTATCTATATCTATCTATATCTACGTATCTATATCTGCGAATAGAGTGTAGGCTACGGAACACTGTACACTCCAACATAATTCAGCCCTCAAGGATCCACAGCCAAGGGGTACGTCAACTCGCCCCTTTGGCTCAAGACTACTGCAGGAACCGGAACAAAGAATCGCAATGCCGAAGCCGCTACCCGTGTGACGTCACCACTGAAACACCCATTTCAGAATCAAGTACCAGAACATAATCGGGGAGACAACCTCCGATTCTCAGGTTATCAGCCGTAGGACTCCTACGGAGCCTACGAGCGGGTAGCCGCGGGCCTTACAGATGATTGAACAGGATAGCAGCGATAACGCATTTTCCTTTTCTGGACATGCCGTTGCACCAGCTGCCGGCACGCAGTCAAATTCTTCACAGAGTATCGACACTGGTGGAAGCGATGCCTCAGAACTGAGAACAAGCCTACCCAGGCGACCTCTGGTTGCTCCTAGAGGGAGACAAATTTCGACAATGCAAGCAATTGAAGATAGGGACAGCACACCTGGAAAGAGAAGATCATCTGCACGACAATTGTCGCCTCCGATGACTCCAAGGACTAAGGCAAAGACTACGTCGTCGAATCCGCCTTCACCGATTCAGGACGCTACTCCATCAGGGACAGGATCTTATCAGCAAGTGAATGCCCCGTCAAGTGGTAGCGACATCTTCACTGCCTATCAGAGTGAATTAACTGAGTACAAAACATCACTGGAAAGGGCCACTGAAGAAGAATCTGTACTTCAGGCAAGATTGAGTGAGACGACAGCATATGCCTATCAACAATTTAATTTCCTGGAAAGCACCACTCATCAAGAGATGATGTCGATGACCGAACAACTCCAGATGCTGAACTTCGAGTTACAGGCTGCACAACAGGAAGATGAAGGTGCGACCTACAGGATCGAAGAGTTGGAAAGGTATCAGACTATGTCGAATGAAGCTGCATCTCATTTGGAATTCAAATATTCACGACTACGTTCGGAATTCGATGAACAAATGGGACAAGCAAACGCAATTATGGTGCATGTGGGCGCTGATGCGAATGCTCACATCAATCAACTCAGACTGGAACTGGAAAACGCAGAGATGAATGCCAAGCAGGAAGCTCTAGCGGTCGGCTATGCTAACGACCAGACATGTGCTTTACAGATCGAGATGCTCGAGGTTGCTAATCAGAACCAGACGATGAAGCACACCATGGCCATGAACGTCAGGCGACTGGAAACTGAGCTCGATGCTGCTGACATGAAGAGGGACGAGATCATGAAGGAGTTCCGTAGTAACATAAGATCTGAACATGACCGTTATGCAGAATGTGAACATCACTTAGCTTTGGAAGAATCACAGCTTCGATTGCAGGTGATCCACAGTGAGAACTTACAATCTCGACTAGCGATTTCTGAGAACAGGGTTTCTGAAGAATCTCTAGCTGAATCAGGTGGCATGCGGGACATGAGGATAATGGGACTACGTTCTGAACTACACATGAAACAAAGTCTTTTAGATCGAATGCAACAGCAACTGACTGAATCGAAGAATCAGTGTCATGAACTTTCCTGTCAACAAGCCAGAAGATCATCACCAAGCAGATCACCGCATGGAGGACCTCTCTATGAGATGTACATTCAAGCCGTGCGTGAACGTGACAGCTTGAAAGAATCCAAAGCCGAAGTTGATAAGTTGTACTTGCAGAACAGATCTGAACTCATTGACACTGAGGACCTGCTCAAAGTCTTCCAGCGAAACTTTGATGAAACTGGTAAGAAATATCAAGATGCTCTGAACAAGATCGATCACATGAGCAACAATCCGAATGTGACGAGTAACTTGTTCGACAGTTTGCACAATGAAATCAATGACAGGGACACAGCTATTGCTCGCCTTCATACTGAACTTGAAGCCCAAAAGGACTCTCTTGAGCGTGCTCACAGGGATGCAGGTAAGTCCATCAAGATGTTGAACGACAGAAGACTCGTGATCAAAGGTGCGACTGACTATTCCATTCCTGAAAGCCATCTGACCGAGATGCATCAATTGGCCAATGAGCGTTACGCTGAGGTAGAAGAAATGTCGAGCACCATTGCTGCCCTGAAGTTGGAAAACCAAGCTCATTCTTCTTCATCAATGAGTAGACCGACTACATTACATGGGTACCCCAGTAATGCCATGCCTCGGAATGAATGTGAAGAGAAATGTGCCAAACTGAAAGCAGAGTTGGACGAGATGAAGCAAGAGAGGAACGCTGAAGTTCGAAATCTTCAAGATGAGTTGAAGAAGATGGAAGATCGTAAAGATTACTATAAGAACAATTTCTCTCAAGCTGAAGATCGTGCCAATGACGAAGAGCAGGAATACCGAGCAGAAGCTGAAGCCTTCGAGAAGCTCAGGAACGAGTACAACACAAATGTCAAGGAGTTGGAGAACCTTGAAAGGGATAGATCCAAGTCATCTGTATCTCTAAGGGAAGCCGAAAAGATCAGCCTCCAACCCTGGCCTAAAACCACTGAACTTTCATCCTGGAAGGGAAGTGTTGTTCATGAAGTTTGTGTTGCAAGTGGAGATCGAAACTATGAAGATTGGAAAGCATGGCTAGCTCCGTGTCTTGCAGATCAACCTGACTTGGAGGCGCTGGCCAAAGCTCCTGATGTGAGATTCCAATCCATTGATGCCAAGCTCTCCAATGCCTTGAGGAAAGTCATTGACAATGCTGGGGACAAGTCCATGCAAGTGAAGTATGACATGTCCATGAAGAACCAATTGTATGGGAGGAGTGGGGACTTCATCAAGGGACGAGAACTATTTGCAATGATATTGATTAGCTTCAAGTCACCTGACCACACTGAAGTTCTCTACAATGCCCATCATTTGTATATGTTCAACTACTATGGAGATGACCAACTTGAGGCCTTCTACAACAAGTGGCTTGACATCGTATACAATATGAAACATGATGATCTGCCTTCCAACAATTCCCTGCGTGACACGTTGTTCCGGAAGATTGAACATTCAAAGCTTATGGCCTTCGATATCAACCGATACAAAACCTTTGATGAAGGGCATCCTGAGAAGACCTATGCTTACCTAACTGGTATGATCAAGGGATACATAGCACGAGGGAAGCAAGAACGACTGTTGAAAGATAGAGAACGTGCAGTGAAACTGTCATTGTCCTCTAACAAGACGACACCTGCCTTAGAAGATGCAGACAAGCCTGCCGCTCCCGTTAAGACCAAGAAGGAGAATGAAGCGGCCGCATCGTCTACAGGTGATCCTCCCAAACGTCCTAAGGCGAAAGCGAAGAGTGAAGCTGCATCGGTACTTCCTACACCTTCTCCGAAATCCCATGCCGACAAGAACAACAAGAAAGGCAAAGGTGGGAAGGGAAGATCATCTTCACCCGTTGACAAGAAGAAGATTTTCTGTAATTACTTCTTCAATAAAGGAGGATGCAACAAAGGTGACAAATGTCTTTACAGTCACTCTCAGAAGGTCTATGATGCCAAGATGAAAGGTAAGAAAGGCAGAAGCGGAAGTAGAGATTCATCAAGAGGGAAAGGTAGAGGAAGTTCATCTTCAGCTGGACCCAAAAAGAAGGTATGTTGGAATTGGCAAGAGGGTACCTGCAAGTTTGGAAGCAAGTGCAAATTCTTACATGCAGATCGATCGCCTTCAGCATCTTCAGAAAGGACCAGCAAGAAGACACCAAAGAAGAAAGCGACTCCCATTACCATTGATTCCTTCTTTGATAGCGACAATGAAGATTCTATGGATTATACCTCGCCGAGGATAGCCAGTGCAAAGAAGTCTTCTGATGATCGCAGGATCTCATTTGATCTGGAACCTGAGGTGCACGAGATCGCCATTGAGGACTACCAGGAGGGACTACCCAAACGTATGTATCGTGACCCAAACAAGCAATATGTTTTCTGGAAAGTCGATGATTTGACCGACGATCAGTCCAAGTCCGACAATACCCTCGGTTCAGTCCAAGCACGGGCCAAGGCTATCATCATGGATAGATGTGGACTCCATCGTTTTGTTGATGAAGTTAGAATCATTATTGGCCCCAAGTTCGACATGTTGATCAAACTGGACAATGATCGTGATGACTTGACTTTTATTGAAGAGCTTGTTGAACACGAAGTTGGAAACTCCCTCATGAAGTCCAAGAACATAATGTGCATTTCACTACCAGTGCAAGCCAAAGATCGTAGATTCATCCTGGATTCTGGCAGCGGGCATGATCTGATTTCT